CAGATAATGAATCACAAACCAAAAAGCTCACTAATGTTTCTCTGGAGGGATTGCGCAATTTTCAGCTCCATCAGCATGTCACCACTGATTGAACAAGTAAAACCACATTATTCAGGGATGCACATTTCTCACATCAGCTGCCTGCAGCCTGGAGCTTTCAAACAAACAACATGAAGAGAAAAAGAGGTCAAGTTCACACCAATATCCCCTCCTCCTTTTTTTAACACCTTTTCTCACTTCATTCCTAACCCTCCCTAGACTTGTTTTTATAATTTTTCTCTTCATCCTCTCTTTCTCCTGCTCTCTATCCTTAACCTCATGTCTATTTCTTCCTCTTTTTCCTCTAGTATTTCTTTCTGTGGTCAATGTGGGTACTCTCTCAGGCTTTCTGAGTGCGTGTGTGTGTGTGTGTTTGCAATCTGAGGTTGTTTTTCTCCTGCAGGCTCCCAGGCTGCTGTGTGCTGCCAGACCCCCACAACCAATCATGATCTCAGTCCAAAATTCCTCACCACTGACCAGAGCCTTAATATTGTGTGTTTGTGAACTACTTTGCAAACTAGTTTTGATGGGGACAGGGTGTACGCTTGCCGAGTTAATTTTGTACGCAACAAATTTTCTAATCTGTGTGCAAGCATCATTTAAACTAGGTGGAGAGAACCTGTTCAGTCTGTCCTCTCCCTGTTCTTTACAATGTGTGCTATACTATGAGTTCTCATCTCACTGGGAGGACTTCTGAATTGACCCCGCCATAATGGATTCACTGTGTCTGTAAATAGGATTGGAATTTCCAGAGGACACCTGAGTGGAACAGAGAAGGCGGGTTGGTGGGGGGGGGGGGGGGGGGGGTGTGCGGCACTAGATTTTTAAGAAATGGAGAAACAGAGAAACTGTGAAATTAGAGACACAGAGTTCTTCACTTACCGGTCACAGGTCTCTCTTCTGGCTTAGTCTGCAACGTGCCCCAGCAGCTCTGTGACTCTGTGTGTGTGTGTGTGTGTGTGTGTGTGTGTGTGTGTGTGTGTGTGTGTGTGTGTGTGTGAGCGCCGTCACGTCTCCATGAGCTTGCCGCACTGAGTCAAACTGCATGAGGAATCGACAGTAAACAGTGAGAGAGAGAGATGTTAGCTCAACACTGCTCTCCTTTATGTTGTAATCACAGTTTACAGTTTGTCATCAGATATCCAAATCTACCCCTCTGTGATTAATGAACAAAGGGGCTCAGTGATTATCACACTGGTGGGTTTTCCCACCAGACCAACAAGGCAGTTTATTTCACACGCTGCAGGGAGGATTTCCATTAAACAAGTTGGAAACTCTGCTCTAGTGTTAAAATGCTTTGACTAACTGACAGGCCACTTTTTAAAATTTGATATACATATGATAATTGTAGTAAAGTGTGCTAATGTCAAACAGAGAGGGCAACAGTTAAAGCTAAAGGGGGGCATTGGTAAGACGAATAAAACTTTAAACATTCTCATGTAAAACAATATCAATACATTACTTCTTTTTTTTTTATAAAGCTGCTATTTTTTATCTTTGCTATTTTAACTCACAGCCATGGACAGATTCTGAGATCATGGTTTCCTGGACGTGTAGAAGCCCCACCCCACCCCACCCCCACGCCTCCCATACAGGGAAAGACACCCAAACTCTTTGTGGTCAATTTGTGTCACATTTGCATCACTCTGTAGTCGTTTTGTCTCTTTGTAGTTGTTTTGCTTCTCTTCTCCTTCTGTATCTCGTTTGGTGTCTCTTTGTAGCCGTCCTGCATCTCTGTGCGGCTTTTTTTCCATCTCCTTTTGCTTTTCTTTGTTGTTGTTTTGTTACTCTTTGTGGTTGTGCCGACTCTCCAGATCTCATTGAGGAAACACTGATGTATGTTCTGTATGAAACCATCCATCCCGTCCAATCATCCTACGATTTATGACCTACTGTCATAACCCATGAGCTATTTAAGTTTATTTTTTATGATGAAAGACCTTATTAAATACTTTATATAGTGTATATATATATATAAAATTTATATGCTGGGAAGAAGACTGATTTAACTGCTATTTACATTGTGTCTGAGAATACTGATGATTGATAATGGAAAGTTATGCAAATTTTTTTTTCCCTTAGCACAATTCACAATAGAAACTGTTGAGATCCAGCACCTCCCTCTGCTCCACATCCCCTGACCTGTTTCTTAACCTGATTAGACTAAAATAAATACCTTTTTTCACTCTACGCAAATACAGCTTGGCACTATAGTGTGGCCCTGACTTTATCTAATCACTCAGAGGTTCTACAAATAGAAGAGCAATCCTCAGGGAAATTATGAATTTGACTTAGTTGTTGCTCAGTCGATTGGATATACATTACCTACAGCGTTAAATCAAACCCTGGCTGTATGTTCAGGGAACATCTGGGTCTAGGTTTGCAGCAGGATAGGTCAAAGTTGAGTGGAGCTTTGTCAAACAGAACGTAAAGCGGCTACTGTCTTGAGTCCTGCTTGACTCCGCTGGTTGAATGAAACCCCACAATGCAAACAATAACATCTGGCTGAGAGGGAAAGGTTTTGGGAAGAAAGCTTTTAGTGTTTTATATTTAAATGGAAACAATAGCTTCAGTTGAGGTATCCACGTGGCTGCCTGTGAGTCATCACTCGCATACATCCGATGACCTCTATGTAATCTGTGTTTGGTTGTCAGATAAGGGCTTATCAATTTCTCTGGCTGGTGCAGCCTCTTGACGTCCTATTCCAGGATTAGACAGTGGGCAGGATGATGATGATGATGATGGGCACTGTAAATAGTGGCTGATTGGCTGGTTGCTGGGCCACCATGCCATTCAGTGATATTGTCAGCTTACATTAGGCTATCATGTCGCCGCAGTGCAGGATCTTAATTCCATTAAACTGTGACCTGGTGATGAGAAGATGAGCTGTCAGCAGGCCTGGGCACTCAGACCTGCTGTCAGTGTGATAAGGCAGCTTAACTGTGAGCTGTAGGAGAAGTGAGCATGCTGGGAAATGCTGTTTAACGCACTGTTTACTACATATTGGAGAGAAGGTTTGTCCCTGTTGTAGTTAAGGACGGGTTTACCTGTGTGTTTTCACCCTCAAAAGGAACGCTGTGATTTTTATTGATATTTTTTTGCCACCTCTTTTAAATGTATGTATCTGTTCCCTCTCCTCTCGTTACAGACATCAATCATGGGTGTGAAGATGCTGCAGTGTTTTCCTTTCTACAGACGCTGTAAAGAGCGTTGCAAGAGGCAATGCCCCCCTGCCACAGGTGAGGGGCAACTACAGTCTGACTATTTAAGATAAATCCACTGTAGACCAAACAGACAGCCATGTTGTGATAGTACAGCCTGTTAAAGCCTGACTCTCTATCTTCCACCCCTCAGTTCCCATAGAGGAAATGAAGCCCCGTCTGTCCTCCACCACATCCTGGGGTAGTGACAGTGAGGGAGCAGGAAGCCTCAGTCGGGGCTCCCAAATCTACTTCTCCACCAAGGCCCGGCTGTCTTTCAGACACCAGCTGGACAGCAACATCAACGCAGTGGACGCCACCTACTAAGGGAGGACAGGGTGCTGCAGGGGAGATAAATGGACTCCAGTATTAAAGTTTTCCATTGCCCACTCATGCTTGGAGCCTGTGGCGCAGAGCTGGCAGCCTGATAGCTGAGCAAATGCATCTGTCGTCACCTTTAGACGTGATCAACAGTAGTTGTGAACAGGCCACAATTTGCATTGTAACCCCTCTGTGCTCGCCGCCAACAAAGAATTCTCGATGATGAATCAGAGTCAACAAGGGACACAGACTGAAATAGACTTGGTTTCCAGTGTCAGTGCATTATGGTTTCAGGAGACTAAACCGAGTGGATCCAGTACGCAAATGGATACAATATTGATGAAAGAGAAGACAACATAGAAACGTGTTTACAGTGTTCACTACCAACAAGTGCATTATTTTTTCGTTTCTCTCTTTTGTTTGGTTGGTGGGTGGGACTTTTTTTTCTTTTTTTTTTTACTGATTCTCTGTTTTTCAATTACTTTCCTGACCTTTGTGGATTTTTTTCATTTGGAGATGATATCGTGGCCCATGGGGATGTTTCGATGAGCAGGATGAGGCAGTTAAAGTTCTGATTAAATCTTCTCATTAGCAGTCATCATCATGAGTGAATTTTAAACCCATCGTTGACATTTTGTCCTGGTTAACTTTCTAATCCTGCTCTGTGACACAAAACCCTGCACAGCAACAGTGAAATACTACAAAACAGAAAGGAAAAAAGGTATTAACTCTAATTCTAGCACAAACGCATTAGGGTCAGGCTGTATGATATTTGCAGGTATGAAAATGTTCAGCTGCTGCCTCTAGTTAGTTCCTCTTTGAAAAAGCATCTGGTAAACCGAGCTGCACAGCAGTTACATTTCCATTAGGTATTTTGTGAGTTATAACATTCTGACTAATTCCTTTTTGTTTATATTTTTTATAATTAAAAACACTCCTGGTTGCATTTGATATTAAAATGTATTGACTTTTTAACAGTACAGATTTTTTTAGGATGAACAGGGTTCTGTATTTGCCTACAAAGAACAGATATGAATGTAAGCGCTGATCCCAAACGACTGTGAAAAACCTGCTGAAATATGAAACTACCATTTTTTGTCCTCTGATGCAAAACCAGTTATCAGCTACTCAAATCCACAGAACGTCAAAAGAAAAGTTTCTTTATTCTTTACTAACAAAATAATAACAATGTACATTTAAAAAAAATGTCTCCTGTGTTTTTATTGGTGGTGAATGTGAAGTGTGTGTGTTGCAGCATTAAATATGAGGATCACATACATTATTGTGTAGAAGTCATTCACATTGCTTCTTCGGGTGGTTTCATTTCTTAACCAAGACACAGACATTGTATCTTGTTAACAGTATTTATTTAAAAAATTAGTTCACTGGTATAAAAAAAAAAAAAGAAACAAAAAACAATCTATAGACAAACTTCTCCAGACCTGTTACCACCGATGAGCTCATCACTGCATGTTTTTGGGTTTGGAGATGACGCCGTCCGGATAACGCTTCTTGAACCGAGCCACGACCTCGGGATCCAAAAGGTGAATGCCATCGAGCTGGTTTCCAAGAGTTATCCTAGAAGGGAAATAAAGGGCAAAAAAGGAACAATCAGTATAAGTAAAATATGTAGAACAGTTAGTTTTCCTTTGAATTAAAGCATGACAGCGTCTTTACCAGTTGGGCTGGACGTTGTGCGGTCGACCAAACAGCTCAATCTTCCTGGTGCCTGGCGAGAGCCTCTCTATCATGCCATAGATTTCATCTGGTTTGTGACTGGTGGAGCGGACCTGGGAGAGAGTGCGCAGAGTTTAATGAAGCAATCTCTGAAGGAGTCACACAGGGTGACTGCAGCATGTGTGACAGAAGATATAGTTGTGTACCTCGGCCACAATGACATCGCAGTCCAAACCTCTGTTGAATCCCTGAGGGTTTCCTTTTACCCCCACCTGAAGAGAAACAAATCACATGGTACGTTTTACATTGTAGACATATATCAGACACACTTTTCCAGACATGCTCACAAAAAATGAGACAGTAGCACCAAAACACCCTCTAGCTGTTGTACACATCTCTAATGAACAAAAATGAAAATATAAGAAGTAGAATCTTCAAATGGCGAGATCCCTCCAGCTTCAAGAGTAGATTGATAGACATATGGTGGAGATAGATTCAAATTCAATATATAAGATGATGTACAAGAAGAGAGGCATGTAAACATACCAGGCAGTGCTCCTTCCCGTGGTTCAGCCAGTGGCCTGTCCTCCCAGTGCGGATGATTCTCTGAAGCTGGTTGGTTTTCACCCATATGATTTCATCGACGCGCTCGTAACTGAGAGAGGGAAATAAAGCAACAAAAAGAGGAAACATATGAGGAATGAAATCAAACGGTGTCCTGAAAAAAATGATGACATAATGTTGGGAGGAAAGACTTACCCCCAGAGACTGAGGCACTCTCTGCCCAACTCCATAGCCCTGTAAGAAGAGGAGCAGAGGGCGTACAGTGAGGTTGAGCAAACAAAATTATATCTGGAAGTGCAGAACCAGGACGCTGCCTACTCTACTACCATGCAGATTCAACCTGTATAAAAATGTTTGTGGACTAAATTGTTTTAGATATTTTATTGAGATTTGTAGCTGATGTTCTTCTTCACAAACCAGATGAGCTGGTGCTTAGTTCAAGGACATCCTGACTTTGTAAGACACAAAGTTATAGATGAACACATGGCAAAACTTTTCTTTTTCCTGTAGACCTCCATGTAAACAGAGGTTATAACCACTACATGTACATTTACCTCCGATCTTTCCAAACAGACTTAAATTTCTGGATACAAAGAAGCCAAACACTTGCTTTTACTGCATCTATAACACCAAACTCGGCCTATATATAAATGAACATCAAGGTCTATGAGCTGAGCCGGATTCCTCAGACTGTTCGGGGTTGTTTTAGTTACCTGCCGGTGACCCAGAGGAAGAGGAAACCATCGTCCTGCAGGATGGGGATGTTGAGTTTTCTCATCTCGTCATCAGTCAGTGTACCATAGGGCAGCTCCATGTGGATGTCCCAGGGAGGGTCGGCCATCACCACAGCAAACTTACCCAGGATGGAAACGTCCAAGTAGCGGATATCACAGCAGATCCACTGGGAATTAAAACGCAAACAAAAATATCAACATCCATCTATTTCTTGCTACCCTACCCCATCTTCCTCTTTCATATCTCCCCATCCTCTTCCTCACCTGTGAAGGGAACAGCTTGCCCACGTTGCTGTCGGCGTCCCCCGCGCGGAGGCCGAGCTCTGCGGTCCCCGCCTGGGGGCCCAGCAGGCTCCCCTCAGTCTCTGGAGGGCTGTCGATCTCATAGTGGACGTATTTGCAGGTGTCCATGTGGAAACAGGTGTTGAGGAAGGAGCAGTCTCCGAGGCTCTCGTCTGTGTGCTTGTTGATGATGCGACTGTGTGAGGAAATACACATCACAAAGAAAACAGCTTCATGCACATGTTGGATGTGTAATGCCATTTATTTTAATGACTTCAGGTTTGAGTGAAAATCCCCCAAAAAAATGCTCCACTATTTTATTGCAAATGTTAAAATATAAGAGAGCAAATATATGAAACAGTATGTATTAACTTACAATTGTTTTTGCCTTGAATTTTAGAGGCCTGGTGGAATGAGACCATCCTGTATTTTACTTGTTTTTAATGAGCGTAGAAATGCCTGGCAAAATTTTTATGCAGCAAAATATGTGTCTCAAAGTTTCAGATTTCTCTTGTGACCCCTTTGTGAGGTCCTGACCACCAGGTTGGGGAGTAATGCCTTCGACAAAGTCATTTTCTAAAAAGGAGAAACTCCACTAATTATATAATTTTCGACAAATGCAAGTGACAAGATGCATTATCCTTCTTTGTCTTAGTTACAGTGCCCTCCTCAGGTCAAACCCAGTATTTCTCCAACACTGAAGTCCAATTAAAATTAATCATTTATCTAAATCAAAGTGTGATACTTGGAATCTGTTACAGTTTTTAAAAACAGGTGTAGAGATGGGTAAATGTGCTTAGGAATTTACTAAGAATGTACTATTTGTAAAATCAGTGATATTGACAATAAATAACCTGTATAGCACAACTTTCTCTTAAGTCTTAAATGTAGCAGAGGCACAGCAGCCAGGACCACTACAGAAATAAAGTTTGGTGAGCAGAGTGTCATATGTAGGGGGCTGTTACATTTCTAATAAAAGGATTTCATCATGCCAGGCGACATAAATACGGACAAAAGAAGATCAGAAAGTTTGCAGACGAACACTGACCGGAAGTGTAACTTGGTGCAGGGCTGCGGTGTGTCCCCAGAGCGTATACACTCCTCTTTGGTCCCGTGGTCACAGAACTCTTGAACCTGAGCTCGGCCGCGAGACCGGAACTTTTCTACGATGGACTGCTCCTTGGCTGTGCTGGCGTTCAGCAGCTCCAGAATCTCTCTGCTAACCTACACGCAAATAACATTCACATGATGCGATGGCAGTAAACACACCTCCACACTCTGCAGCTTCCATTTTGAGCGACTGAAAATTGAACTGGTCGTGATAATAATCCCTCATACCTTCTTGCTCTGCTGCTCCTTCGTGGACTGTTGGTTCAAGAGGCTCTCGATCTCCATGTCCACGTGAGACGACTGGCTTTTACTACTCCTACCCTTCTTCTCAGCCCCACTCCCTGACGCTGAGGGCCCCGCCAGCGTTGAGGAGGAAGCCGGTGTCAGAGAGGTGGTGGACGAGTGTGGCGGGGAAGCAGAGCTCTGTAGTGAGGGTGAGAAGCCTGCAGCTCTTTTGTTGTGGCTTTGGTCTTCTGCTTTTCTCTTGACTCCAGTCCTTTGGGCTCCAGCCCCAGACCCGATCATAGCCCATAATTTTGTGTGGTCCACGGCTACGACGACTGTGGAGGAGGAGGCAGAGGAGGAAGTTGTAGAAGAAGAAGCTGAGGTAGACTGCCGAACCTCGATGAGCTCCTGAGCTGAGAATTTAAGCAACAGACTCTGGATGCACCCGTGACTGACAGCGGATTCCGACTGTGAGAGACAATCAAATAGAGGATGACAGAAAGAAGAAATAGTCGTTAATATAATACATGACCACTTCTCTACATAAAACCCTTGGACACACAAACAAAGACTCACACTGATGAGTTCATTTGTGATTGCGAGAGAGTCTGTAGGCATTGACAGGCTCAGATCAGATAGATATCCCAGCAGCCTCTTCTCCAGTTCGGGGTCTGGTGGTTTTTCTGTCTCCTCCTGAGAGGTGAATGGAGCTGACGGTGCCGGGCTGTCACTCCTGGCTGTTGAACTGTCTGTGCTGCCTCCACCTTCTACATTGAGAGGAGACCGGGGGAGTTAAACTTGTTGACATTGTTCCACGCACCACTGCTCATGAGTTTAACTGATAAAGAAAAACCCAACAAATTCTAATGATCAATTACTTCTTGGGAGCTCTGTGGAAAACCAAACTATAATTATCTTCACTGTATCAAACTTGCGTAACTTCGGGGGCGTGGAAGTAGCCACTTGTTATGAGCTTCAAACTATTGTCTGTTAACTAAACTATATCAATTAGCCAATGGGCTGAAAGTAATGTATAACTAACACCTTCACACCAAAATGAGCCGCTTTTGCCCGCTAATTTTGGTGTAAAAGGGATATTTACAATTGAAGTAAGTTTAGTTTGACAACGCCCCATTGTTGATATCGTTTGTTGAGTAAAATTTCCCAGTATTTTCTGGTAAAAGTAGGTAATTTTAAGACCCCACTGTGGCCTCTGGTATCAATAAATTGGCATTTGTCTCTATTCTTGACAATTTATAAATTCAATAAGTAACTTATTAGCCGGGTTAATTACTTAATAACATAAATAATCGTTATCTGTCGCCGGGGCTGGTACCCGCCGTCCAGTCTGAACATACCCGTGGACAGTTGTGCTGGGTCTTTCCGTCGCCGCTGCAGCCTCTCCCGCAGGGAGTCCAGCTGCTTCTTGTGCGCCTGGATGTTGCTCCATGTGTCCGACATGACGAGCTGGGTTCAACAGCAACAAAAACACCCAACACGAGCCGCGCTGAACGGCTTCACAACAAAAGTTAACCACTGTCCGCCCTGTCTGGAGCGAAGAATGTATGGTACACGAGGAAAAAGTGTCGGAGCAGCAGCTCAATTGAAAGGTTCCGGCTGATAGTGTACGAATGCCCCGGGCGGTTAAATTATCTGTTATAAAACAAATGTCATTTTTCCATTAATATGTATTTAAAGGTATATTTAGGAAAAGAAAAAACTCGGTAAAAGTTTCTCCGTTTATTTTTTCAGAAGGTGTATTGTCGGAATAATTTGCCATGCGGACTACTCCAACTTCCGGCGTCACTGAAATTAAAAGCTTACTTCCTCTGTCCTAAAACTCACTGCATTCGTGAGAAATGTGAAAGAAATGACGTTTCCTGTCAACATATTAACAACAGAGCCTTAGATTTAATACTCGATCCGTAACTCGTTGATTTAGCTCAACACCATCTGCTAGCAGCTATTGCTTTTATTCGCTAACGCAAAGATGGCGGAAGACGAGAAGAGTGGTGAGCCAGCGAAAGACAAAAACGAGCTGCAAATTTTTAAGGTAGGTCACGTCATTTATAACGTGCGGACATGTAAATACACCGAGTGTCTCGAGTCGTCGTGTTTTGTTGACTTCTTGTGCGGTAATTGTCGTGTGTCGCCTCTCAGTTTGCTTGCTGGACATCTCCTGAACGACTCGTTACTATAACAACTGGCTGTAACTGTCATGCTAACTGTATTTCTGCTCCCTATCTATGTGTGAATTTACCTTAATGTATGTACTCAATGTTTAAGGTGAAGAGTGACTTCTTCTTTAAATCCTTATTTTTATCTCCTTGCACTACCAAATAAATATAACATGGATGCCTTGCTTGAATCTGTCCTACTACTTCTTGCTGAGTCACTAGATTGTATGTGTGCCTTAAGGCTTAATGCACCAGACACAGGCACCAGGGATGCACTGGTAGTACTTCCAATCTTTTAATCAATAACCTCACAAAATCTGCTTAATACTCCACTGTTTGTTAAAAATGACTGTCTTTTTTTAAGATTTAATTTTCCAGTTTTTAGTTCTCAGTTTCTAATATTTCTTTTCTCAGACATAGAATTCATGTCCTCATCTTAATCATAATGGTTAATGGACTATAAAAACAAAATAGACAGAAGGAAATAAGTCCAGGACTTTATCATTCTGCACCTGGCAAAGTCTGATATGTTTAAGTATTGTCAGTAAACCAGAAGCAAATTAGTAACAACTGTAGTAATTTCACTGTGTTGCTGATTTGTTTTGTATTAAGTGAGAAACAGAAATAACCAAATACCAATAGTAAGCTGGTGCATCTCTTATAGCACGATTGTCCTAGTTTTTCGCAGTCAGTTGTGTAGAAGTAGGCAGATTTAGCTGCAAGAAATGTGTCTTTGGTCTATTTTTAACCATTGTTAAGTATTCATAATCTATTTTTCACATTCACCCACCTTCCCCTCCCTCTCCATGCCCTCCCATTACAGGAGCTTGTGGATGAACTGTATAATTTCAGAGATTGCTATTTTGAGACTCACAGTGTGGAGGAAGCTGGAAGGAAACAAAGTGATGTTGCACAGGAAACCGAGAAGACACTTAAGAAGCTGGAGGAGAAAGAGGGTGAGTGTTGTGTTTACACAACAGCACTGCATTGCAGCATCAATTTGCAGAATTTCATTGACTCCCACAGTATCTCTGTATTTGTGATTTGCCACAGATCGCTATAAACACAAAGCAGAGTTTCTGCTGCAGAAAGGCAGGTGTCTGAACGTAGCTCCAGACTTCAGTACCGTAGCAGAGGAGTGCCTTTCCCGGGCTGTGAAGCTGGAGCCTGGCCTGGTCGAGGGCTGGAACACACTGGGCGAGCAGTACTGGAAGAAAGGAGACTTGATTGGTGCCAAGAACTGCTTCACTGGAGCCTTGCAGCAGGTATTAGAAAGAGAAAAGGGATGGATGTGTTTTCACTCAGTCTTTTTTTCATTCACTTGCTATAGCTTAACAAAGAAAGCCATTACTTAAGCTATAAAAAAGTATTTTCGCTATGAATTAATGACATGCTCTCAGTGATGTGAATGTATTTTCTATTCAAAATCCCCATTGTAAAATTACAGAAAATCTGGAGCTACATCCAATGAATTTGCAGGCCATTTCTAGTATAATAATCTACCTTTTCTCTGTCTGTATCGCCATGCTAGGCTTCACATATAAACTCATCTGTCTGTGCTTCGTCTTCCACCTCTGTAGAGCAAGAACAAAGTCTCTCTACGTAACCTGTCCATGGTGCTGAGGCAGCTGCCAGCAGCGGACAGCGATGCACATGGCAAACAAGTGCTGGAGAGCGTTGACATGGCCCGACAAGCTGTCCAGCTGGATGTCAAAGACGGGACGTCCTGGTGTGAGTAGAGCGTCAGAGACCTTAGTAAGCAGAGAGGATGAAGACAGTGTTATGGGGATGTGTGTAGCGCTTAATTTGCTCTCTGTATTGAGGGAGCTGTTTGTTACACATATCCAGATTATATCCAGAAGTTAAAACAGTCATTATACAAATTCTATGCTGTCCTGCACATAATTGAATAAAATTGTACTTATGTTGTTGGTTATAACAGATATCCTGGGAAATGCCTACGTGTCTCTCTTTTTCACCTGTGGACAGAATCCACAGTTGTCTCAACAAGCGCTAAGTGCCTATGCACAATCTGTGAGTACACACATACACAGTACACACACACACACTTAAATGCACAGTTAAAATCAGTCAGCACTGATTGCGCTATTGTACTGATATTTTACTCCTCTCCCACCTTTGCAGGAGAAAGTGGACAGAGCTGCCTCTTGTTACCCGGAGCTGCATTTCAACCGATCCACTCTGTTCCAGTACGAGGAGATGTTCGGGTCTGCGCTCGGTGGCTACAGCCGAGCGGCGGCGCTCGACCCGGGCTGGGAGGAGCCTCCAGAGAGAGAGAAGCAGCTGCTGGAGTATCTGGAGAAAGTGACAGAACTCATACAGAACAAGGTAGGAGACTGTGCTGGTCATTCTCACACTTGCTGCAGAAATCAGTGTTATTTGTTATGACATAATTAAAGCATGACAAATTATTACCAACCATTGATATATCACAAAAGTACTTCAAAAATTTAGTTTAAGAGTTAATGTACAATTAAATAAAAGAAGCCGTAGTTGATGATGCCTGAACTTGTTTAATAGAAAGAAGCGTGTTTGTGTATTGTACCTTTGGCATCACCTCTTTGTCCTTCTTGTTTTTTTTTGTTTGGTTTATGTCTAATTTCTTATGTTTATTTTGTTTAGTTTTCTTACATTGTCAAAAATAAAAATGACAATAAGATTTCATTTTCATTTCATTTCATTATCACAAGGTGGCAGCAAAGCGCAGCCATGTTCCTTGTTTTGCTCCTCACCTCCAGTCTGTATTTCTCTTCAGGGGAAGGTGAAGGCACGTCGGTTACGGACCATGCTCTCCAACCTCAACACGTCGGCTTTGGGTCCCTGCTCCTCCCCTCAGTTCCGTTCGCCCACAGGCCGTGTGGGCAGCCTGGAGCCTCGAACTATTTCCTCCCTTTCACATGGCCACAACGCCGGGGTGGCCGCCTTGGGCAAGGTGGTGTTCAGCCTGGCTTCTGAGGGTCGCATGGCCTTGTGAGTCCAGCTTCTTTCTGTCATTGTTAGTCCATTTATCCTCATGCAGTTTGCTTCGGTCTTGGTGTGATAGCAGAAGAAGAGTGCTTGTTTTTTTTTGTTTTTTTTGAGTGGTCTGGTAAAAGCTTGAAATCTTTTGTCCAGTACATTCGGCATGGTGGACAGCGAGGAGATGTGTATCGTCGTGATGGTTTACAACACAGCGGACAGCTGGGGCGTCCTGATAGGAGACACTGTAGTCATTCCTGAACCTCAGGTCAAACGACACAGTATAACACATAAAGATAAGGTCAGTGTTTCATGTATGTAATTAAAAATTAACTGAATAACGCCAGTCTGATTGTGTGACTTAATACTTCTCTTCTCTCTGGTAGTCGTTTGACTTCAGAAGTATACGAGTGGACTCTCCTCTGCTGCTCATCGTCAATGGCAAGAAACAAAACGTCCAAAGTCAGATTGCTGTCTCTGTCAGTTACAAACCCCAGAGTGAATGAGCCGAGCGAGAGGTGAAGAGGACCAAGTTTTTTTTTTTGCTGGATATGGAAGAACAGTTTGGATAATATGGAAGTATGAAGATTCCAAAGTGTGTGCCGGTTTTATGTGTTGTTTTGTATATAGAGCCCTTCACGTTACATTGTCTTTAGAGGCAGTTTGTTTATATTTATAAATATTTCTTTTTCTTTTTTTTTTTAGTTTTGTATTCTGTTGTTGTGGTGACAACAGGGAGTTGTTTTTGTAAATGGATGAGCCTGTGATGACGACAATGTGATGTCAGAATTGTGACTTCAGTTTATCCTAAAAAAAATCCTTTTTCCTCAAACATTTTGTTCTTCATTCTTCATTTGGTTGTTTGTTATGCAGTAACGAACTTCTCATTACACACCTAACTTTAGTCATTCAGTAACATAAATGCAAACAAGTGAAGGAAATTTTGGATATTTTTTATGCTGATGTGGCAATAACTAACCTTGTGGTGCCATAATGTTGTATCTATTTCTGAACTATATGATATGAGCTCTGTAAAAATGTATATGGAGCATTCTGAAATTTGTTTGGCCCAAAAACAAGCAATCACATTTCTTTGCTTCAGTTAGGGTGAGGCTTACCCTATCCACCTGAACTTGTTATACTTTTCAGATATTAAAATACTGAAAGCAAAAACAAAGGACTTAATTCTATGATGTTTTATTTTACTTACTTTTGCTGGACTTAAATCACAAATTTACACAGGAGACTAAAAAGTCATAGCTACATTTAACTACAATTTTATACTGGTATTTGTCCAAAACACATTTATGGTTCAAAATTACAATAAATTACACAAAAAGCACTTAAAGCAAACACCTCCGACTAATTTAATATTGAACCAGAACAACTTGGTAATGTCAATAACGGCCATTAAACTAAAGTCACTATGAAACCTGTTCTTCTCAGTGCTTCTTGATGAAGGGCCGGTCTTTCTCCCTAGCAGGGGAGCTGAACTGGAAGAAAGTCTTGGCTCCGTCACCCTCCAGGCAGGAGAAGAATCGACTGTCCACGTCAGGGCCCATGGAGAGGAACTGAGGGCTTCTCTGAGGAGACGCCTGTCGAGCAACCCCTGCGTGACACACAGGAGGTTGACGGATGTCTTTCATTGTTGCACTGACTAAAATTCCCTTACATAGACAATCAGCTCATTACTCCCACTGTTCTTTCCTGATGACCACTTCTCCTCGACCAAACAGCTACAGCTGTGTCTTCCTTTGAGCCCGTTAACATTATTCTTGCTGAGTTTCCTTCCTCTTCTCATTAATCAGCGAGGAACAAACTGATACAGGCATTTAATTCTCAGGCAGAGACAGAAAAACACTTCATCTTTCTCATCTGGACTGGATTTTTATTTATTTTCCTACCAAACATACTTTTTTGGGCATAACTAATTATTATTAATCTGTCACCTAATTAATCCATTAATCAATGTCACTTAGCCTATGAGATATCTATTACAGCTTCCAAGAGCCGAAAGGTGACATTTCTGCTTAATGAATTACTTGATAATGATAAACTGGTGGTCAAAATTGTTTGTGAATAATTTGACGTCAACTAATCATTTTAACACCGATCAATGTATTATTTAATACACAGCAAATATTTAATATTCTTAAAAAGATTTGACATTATAACATCAAAAATATTATAATCCAAAAATCAATCATTAGAAACAAGAAAAAAATTATATATATAATACTAACATCCCATAATGTTCCTTGTTTATAAAGAGCAAGATTTTCAAAAGTTGGTGAGAGAATTTATGGCCTGATAATTCATAAACTCCTATAAGCCCATCCCCACCTAAAATCTACTGTAAATGCTTTTTCTCATTGTGAAATACCAATTTATCTCCTGCACAAAACCACCTATCAGTTCAAGAGTGTACCGTTAATCTTGTAAAGGCATTAATCTAAATTCAAATTCTTGTTCTTACCAGTGCTGAAGTCGTGATGTCCTGTTTGTAGCAGCGCGTCTCTTTCCCCGACACCCACCACCATGTTGCGCAGCCTCAGAGAGTCATACAGCCCCTGTAGTTTCTGGTACTGTCTGTTCCTCTCCATCAGCCTCTCAGACACCTCGCTGTACTTCCTCTTGTACTCCTCCATCACCTGACAGGAAATAAATGTTCTACATTTTCATAAGCTCTTTCTGAAGTCTGCAAACATAAAAGATTTCAGGATAGGAAATTTCTAGAACTAACAATTACTGAAATTAAGTAATATCACAATAGAGATGATTTTCAATAGACCCACAGTCAAATTCTAAATTTTTTCTTTGCACATGCTTATCTCAAGTATAACACATACAGTATGGCAACAGAGCAGGTCAGAGAGCATGCTGGAGCTATCTACTAACACAAAATAATTTTGGCACATTTTAAATATGAGGTTATGAATGTGCACTTGGGTTTAAGAGATGAGGTTTACTTTCTTCAGGGAAGCGATTTCCCCCCTCATGGCACTGAGCTCCAGCTCCCTGCTCTGGTTCTGCTGGTTCAACAGCTTTTCCATCTGCTTCAACTGTGTCTCTGCCCGTGACAGACTATACTCTTGGTACATACGCTCCTGATGAACCTGTACACAAGAGACAAGCTGAGTGTTTTATAAGAAAGAGGAGACTAATGGACTGATATAGACAATTCAAGGTTCACAGATACAGAGCAAGTTTATAGAAATAAAGACAGAGAGGTATTTGACCTGGTAGCTCCAGAAGGCCAGAGCACGGGCACTGATATCCATAACTATGTCTGGTCGCAAACCTGCCAGCACCATGGCTTTGTAATCCTCAGAGGGTGACAGCTCCGTCCTCACAATGTCCAACTTCCCAGACAGCGCAGAGGAGCATGCCGGGCAGATGGCGGGAGAGCGGCTAAACTCACCAGACCCGTGCTGATCACAGAAAACATGAGAGCAGGCTGTGACCCAGGCGAAGCCGCTCAGCTTGGCCCGGCACTTTGGGAAGTTACACAGGAGTGTGTCATCGCAGAGAGACATGGCCTTCTACAGAAAGTACAGTGACATTTCAATAATGGAGATCAGCAGTAAAGGCAAGTTGTTAACTGAGCATCATATAAAGCTGAGTGAGAGACATCTTTACCATGAAGGTGAAGCAAATACAAACATTTACTTCTAAGGCAAAGCATACGTGTGGGGGGTCCCAGTGATTCAAAGCCCTATATGGTTATATTTAGGAAATCAAAATCATGAGGTTTGGGGGTCAAGATGTATTTTTATGAGTTAATGCTGAATAAATTTAAATGTTTTATGGACTGCAAGCATTTCTCCCTGCCCTCTGTTTTTGGGATTGGGAAAACATTATATTGGCCATAGTTTTATATCCCAGTTTTTTAAAACTAGATTAACTCAACGTCTCACTCTGGAAATTCCAGTACTATATTTGTAATCTTCAATAAATCAGGTACTTCCAAACTTTGTCTAATGTTACCACATGTATCACAAGGACCCACTGTAACTATTTTTATGTTTCCTGTAGGTGTCTTAACTAGTTTAGTTAGTCACATGAAATGATAATACTGCTTTTCTGTTAACTGGTTGCTCCTCAATAGTGTTGTTAGCCTTAGCTTACTTTCCACTCCACTCAGTTCTTTTTTTAATTTCGACTTATTATCTATTTCAAATTATCAATAAGAAAATTATTAAGTAAGGAAATACTAAATACTTAAAATATCATAGCACTGTTGTATGAAGACGTTTCAATTAAGTTTAGGTAACATAGCTAGTTTAAAGTTACACCAATTACCCCTAAAAGTTAGCATTAGCAGGCTAGCAGGTAAAGTAACGACTCTTAGCTCACTCGGCTAAACTGTCCTTTCCACTGGCTGCTTTTGAAAAAACAACTTTGACTTTTACAACTATATTTTCTGTGACACTTTAACCTTAACTTAACCGTTACTTTATGGCTAATTTCGAGAGATACACAACTTACCAGTTAAGGCCAACTCTTCCCTCTGCAGGGTAGCAGGAGGTGACGCTAAATGAATGCTGTGATCTGATTGGCTGATTGCAACTCAAAGCAATGACGGCAAAACGGGCTAAGAAATATTTTAAAAATTTAGAAATTAGCCTTCAATGACTCTAGGAAGTACATTTTAATAACATAGCAATTTCAGTGTATAATGATATATAAACTCACTCTGCATGTTTTCTACAATACTAAGGCTGATAGAGGTAAACATGATATAGCTACATATGTTTTGAGGATGTGTAAAGCCCATGGATGCCCAAACAGTTGTGGGGCATAATTGAATATATCTGCTCCAGTTGTGAATGACTTGTACCTTGTAACTTGAGCATTTTATATATTTTGGATTTTCCTTAAGGAAAGGACCTCCTGGACTTTGACACTACATCCAGTAGCCTATTAATTGTTTATCATTTTCTAGGCTATTTATTTTCCATTTAATTCTAATTGAGAATCCCAAACTGTAACCCTTTAGATAAATATGGCGGGTTAATTCCTCCAAATCAAATAATGCCCTGTTTTCTGACACAGCCTCTGAGTGGATATATGTATAATGTGAGACACCTACTTAAATATGGTCCCCCCTCCTCCTCCTCCTCCCACTGTTTTCTCTCTCTCTTTTATCCATTTCTCCACGTGGTACAGGAGTAAAGGCAGGGGGTGAAAGAGGGGCATTGTGCTGTGCAGCAGTGGATCCGGGGGTTCATAGTGAGAGAGGGGAGATGCTCACTCAACTGTGTCCGGCACGCCATTGTCAAAGATTCCCATCTATTCTCTGCCTTTTAAATAGAGCTCCAGTGTAAGATGCTTTTTTTTTTTTTTTTAGGGGGGGGGGGCGGTGTTGAGAGGGGGGCTGTCGGGGGAGTTTATTATGCGATTGGTGATAACACACGAAATACATGCGTGCATGTGGAATGGCTGTGTGGCCCCACTTGCACACAACAGCCACTCACTGCACTGCTGTTGATAATTGGCCCTATAGAAATCAAAGAGTAGAAATATCGCCTGTGCACTCCTCAGCTGGCAGAATAACACCGCTGGGAAGACGGATTTTTGACTCTTGCTGATGGAAACCACCTGCCAGTCAATCATAGCTATTTTACTTTTTATTCCCTCACCTTGCTGAGGATTAGAAAATAAACGCAGAGCACCTGGGAGGTCCTAAACAGATGTCACCTGATTTACCTGTTAAACTTGTTTTACTCATGTTTTTACGTCTTAATTTGACCCATGCTCATTTTATTCCCTTCCTGCAATGATTAAAACATTTACCTTTAACAAACAACCGATTCTTTCGCCCATTTTAATTTGTTTTTAGGCATCCAACGGCTTTGACACCTCACTGTCATGTTTCATTGAAAGTTTATAGCTGCTGTGTGAGTGTGTAAAGAAAAATAAAGCTGGGGAGAAAGAGAAAGAGAGAACCAGGGAGGCTGTGTGTTACACGCCATTGAAATGCAAATATCATTGAAGAACAAGGAGTGGTTCTGTGTGTATGGCGTGTGTGTGTGTTTGTGTGTGTGTGTGTGTGTGTGTGTGTGTGTGTGTGTGTGTGTGTGTGTGTGTTCCCTGTATGTGCATGCAGCGGGGCAGCAGTGAGAGAGGAGGGGCGCAAATTGGACAAGTTTTTTGGGGGAGAAGAGACTTTACAAAACAGCCACACACACGCACTCACGGCAGATTCATATGACACGGTGCAGACCTGCGGATTTCCCACACCCATGTCCTTCTTTTTTTGTCTTTCTTCCATGAAAGACCGCTCTTTCAACATTTAAAACTGCTTATACAAATATTTAATTTCTTTTTTTTTTTTTTTTTTATCTACGAGTTTGCGGGAATTGCGCGACTTTTGAACTTTGGATGCTTGGATGCTTTCAGGAGCGCGTCAAAGTGCGCAAAAACGTGCCTAGTGCCATTCAACCGACGGATGCCCCCCTCTCTGTCTGAGTCGCCGTGAATCATGTCACGCCGGAAGCAGAAGCGACCCCAGCATCTTGTTAACTCGGATCCGGGTGGCCCAAGGCTGCTATCTCACGGTAAGAAAACATCTTTACAAGCGTGCATGTGTTTTTGTCTTTGGCTTTTTTGAGAGAGAGAGAGAGGCTGGATGTCCTACATACACAGCCTATTGGTGCTCATCACTGCATGTGGAATTCACTTTCAGTCTAAAAAAAAAGAAGAAATCTTTAAAGAACTTTACAAAAGCAAATATTTGGATTTACACGCATGTTTTATGTGTGGCTCCTCTTTGATTTTCATAAGTTTATGTATGCATGGCCACATTCCAACAAACGCACCTGATTTAACAGACTTAAAAGTTTAAGATCTAAGTTTGTCAACTAAAGACACCCCCCCTGCTTATTCATTCACTGTAATGGGCCCCACTAAATGGAGGCCTCAGGCACTTTGGTCGGGGCCAATAAACTTGTCCCTGTGAAGTGAATAGAGGAGGATTAACTAACATACATCTGTGGCCATTTTCATGTGCTGGGCGTCCTCTAGGAAACCAACAGGCTGCTCAGCGCTGACTGCTGGAGGTCTTTGATTAGTATGGAACACTCTCTTATTTGTTAGCAATAAGGTGCATGGGTGGGGGGAAGGGAAGGCAGTGTTTTTGGTAAAGATTAATCTTCCACCCTTCTATTCTCTTCTTCTTTTGCTCTTCGTCCATGCTTTTCTTCCTTATGCACCCCTCTCCCCCCATTTTCCACCTTCTCAATACTTCCCTCCCCTTTCTTTCTCCCTCTTTCTCCCCAGCCCTATTGACTGTATACTCCTACACAGTTGGGGGGTTTCAGATGGATGGGAAAAAAAAAAGATTCAGAGGGGATAGAGCGATTGCTCTCGCACTTGTACTGTGTGGTATTGGCTATTGGGCTTCAAGTGCATGCACTTAAGTCTCTGCAGGTAAACTTTCACAAATGAAAGTGGAGGTTTTAGATTCACATATTTATGTGTCCCCTGCAGGTTCAGGTTTGTCTATAAGTCAGAGGGAAGGAATTTCACTGAGGTACAGTCTTTCATTCCATCACTATATCTCTCCAGGAGGGAATAGTTAGTTTGTCTCTCCATTGTTGTTACCCTCCCCCCTTCTTTTTCTTTTTACTCTTTCTCACTCTGTGCTCAAGATTCTGAAAGAATTTGACCCCTGGGCGGCAGAGGTCAGATTAGTTGACCAATCAGAGTGTCTGGACAGTGCCCAGAACCCTTAGCATGGCCTGACCCTTGACCTCCACTGTGACGTAAGGGGGGAAGGGTGAATAGGGAGATGAAAGACGTAACTGCTACAGGGAGGGGGTGGGTTAAGAGGGGTTATGGGTTGTCTTGGTGATGCCCATTGTCCTCTAAAATGTGTTGCCATAGCAGCAAGGTGGTCTGTAAGCTTTTTTGTGTGTGCAAGATGTTTGAGAAGTTCTGCTGCAGAGAGCACAGATTGAGACAAGACATTACAAAGACTCATAGACTGCGGAGTTTCTTCCACTTGTTTATTTGCTTGTTCAAGGCCATTTCCTAGCAGGCATTTCTTTTGAAGCTGCAACACGATCTTCTGGTCTGCACACAAATTTGAAAACTAAACTTGTAAACAGTAACTGGAAACAATGAAATAAACAAACTGTGAGTGAAGCAGAAAGTTTAAATGAATTTACATACCTGGATATCTGAACGGATATTGGAGATATTGTGTAATAATGCCCCTGAAAGGAAACACACAGGTTTTCAAGTTTTAAAAAGTTCTTTAAAAGCATTGTTCTTTTTCTGTCAATCCTCAGATGACCACCTGGGAATGAAGTCACCGTCCACATCTCTGGGTTCTGAAGTGACATCATCGGGGTCCGCCTCCTCATCCCCCACCTCTCTCCAAGACTGCCAGCCGCCTCTGGCCCCTCGCCCATCCCCTGGTGGGCTCCACGCGCCCTCCTTACCCAGCGAGAGCTCGCCTCCTCCCCACTGGCCCAGCCACGTTGCCCCCTTCACCACGTCCCTCCCCAACACCCACTCTTCCCTCTCCCCAGACTTTCCTCACCCCTCGCTGTCTTCCCAGACTCACTCGCCACCTCCCCTGGGTCAAACCTCAGGTTCCCACAGCCTGTCCCACCAAGGAAACTCTCACTCCACCATGACCTCTCCACCGATGGGCAGTTCGGCCACCACCACTACCTCCTCCTCCTCTTCCTCTTCAATGTCCTCTCAATGTGTGCCGCCTCACCGGGACAGCTCCAGCCCAGGTCGGCAGCAGTCCTCCAGCTCTCCGGGGCAGCAGGGGCAGCTCCAGGTGCCTCCAACCCTCGCGGTGCTACTAGAGGAGCTGAGGGTTTTACAGCAGAGGCAAATCCACCAGATGCAGATCACAGAGGAGATCTGCAGGCATGTGCTGAGGCTTGGAGGGGCTGTTTTTGGCCAAGATAATGATGCACAGGCCAGTGGTGCAGAGAGCAACCAGAAATCTACAGGAGCAGCATCTTCATCGCCAACACACCCTTCCACTGCCACTCCAGTGACCTCAGCTTCATCGCTTTTGACAGGCCTTCCATCTTCCCTCTTTCCCCAGCCAGCCGTCTCCAAATCAGGCTCTTCACACGTTAATGGCAGCAGAGCTTCATCCTCCTCTACCTCTTCCTCATTATCTTCCTCTTCTTCCTCTCTTTCATCAACCATCAGCTCCTCTGTTGCCTCCCTGCACCCACTGTCTTTGTCATTGGGCCTACCTCCACGCTACCTCCATGAGAAATCGTCTAACACCTCCTCATTCGGCCACAGCAACGGTGTCAGCTTCGCTACGCCACCCCTCCCTACCATCAGCCACTCCCAGGACCTCCAGCCCAACTCCTCTCTCGCCTCAGCCTCCTCAGCAGGACGCCCTCAGCATGTTTGCCGTTTTTGTGGTAAAGTGTTGAGCAGTGATTCATCGCTCCAGATCCACCTGAGGTCACATACAGGTGAAAGGCCCTACCAGTGTCCAGTCTGCTTGAGCCGTTTTACAACCAGAGGGAACCTCAAAGCTCATTTCCTGCGACACAGAGAGCAGAACCCAGAGCTGTCCCTCTCCCTGCTGCCCCCAGCACTGTCCGAGCAAACGCAGAGTGGCTCTGCACCTGGCGCCATCCAGAGAAGGCGAAAGCGGAGGGCTGACGATGACGAGCCGTTTAATGGAGTGAAAGGAAGCATTCCTGGAATGACAGAGAACATGGCTTTAGGATTCCTGTCTGGTGCGTCCGCTCGGCCCTCACCTTCCTCTCTACCTCTGCCCCCCTCGGTGGACATGGCGCTGCTGTCCACAGCCCATTCACTGCTACAGCTAAACAGAGCCTCAGCTGCAGCCGCTGCCAGTGCATCAAGCACTGTACTGCCGTCTTCTTCATCATCCTCATCTTCCTCCTCCTCCATGGGAAGCCAGTTTAAAGGAGCAAAGCAGCAGCGTTTTGATGAAAACACACCTCCACACTCTACCCTCCATACAACCTCCCCATACTCCCAATTGGCCCACCTCCCCAAGATTCTCTTCCCTGGAGGTACTTCCCCTCATCACCTTGCACTTCTCCGGCCCCCGGGTCACCCATCCACCTCCCACCTCACTTCCCCTCATCAACTACCCTTCCCCTTTCCACCTTTCCCTAAACCATCAACCTCATCTCCCTCCTCATCCTCTCCCACCACCTCTACCCAGACCTCAGACACCTCCAAGTTGCAACGGCTGGTCCAGAAGCTTGAAAAGCAACCACAGGGAGCCTCTTCCTCTGCCTCCTCTTCCTCCACCTCCGCACAAACACATGCTGAAGCCAATGGGGACACACACGGCCATGACCTGACCACCACCTCCAGTGCCTATCGCAGGGAAATGTTGGCTGCACTAGGCCTGAGCCCAAGTGCCAATGCTATAGGACTTGTGACCGGCCAGGGAGTCTCAGGTTCGGGAACTACAACCACCACGACTGCTCCCTCCCTGCCCACAGCCCAGGCTGCTAACCAGTGTGGTGTCTGCCTGCGTGTCCTCAGCTGCCCTAGAGCTCTGCGTTTGCACCAGGCCACACATCTGGGAGAGCGTCCTTTCCCTTGTAAGCTGTGTGGCCGCTCTTTCTCCACAAAAGGTAGCCTTAGGGCTCACCTGGCCACTCACCGTGCAAGACCGCCAAATGCCCGTGCCTTGAACTCCTGCCCACTGTGCCCACGCAAGTTCACCAATGCTTTGGTTCTTCAGCACCACATTCGCTTGCACCTAGGAGGGCAAATACCACCTGATGAAGACATGCCACCTGAGGATGGCACAGAAACAGAAAGTGCCGTCTTCGATGATGGCGAGAATGACTCCGTCAGCTCGCCATCTAAAGGCCAACAACAACTTCTTCCCTTGGCCTTAACAACAGGCTCCAAGTCTCCAAATGATGTGCTCAACTCAGGGTCCACGTCTAAGCAATCTACAGCTTCTGATGCTACTTCTGTGAAGACCGAGGAATCCGAGGGCTCAACACCCAGTGTTAGCCCACCCCTGACCCGTAATCCCCCCTCAGCAGGAGCCGGGGACCCCCTGCGTCCCGGAGACAACGCCCTAGCTGATGGTAGCCCCATGAACAGCTCCATGTACTCCGAGGAGGAGACTCAAGCTGACCCGGGCAGCACTAGCCCTTTCAAAGCACCCTTAGCTAGTTCTCATTCAGCTGTAGTGAATGGAGATGCAGAGGCAGATGACACCCCTCTTTCCCTCTGTGTTTCAAAGCCTGGGGTAGAAAATGATACGCTGCAAAGAGGGGTTAATAATGGTGAAGCCTGCTCCACAGATGAGCTCACGACTAGCCCTGATTCCAACCCAAAACCCCCAGCGGAAAATCCCTTACCTGCACTCACCCCTCCTGCCAGCCCCAAAGCTATCCCAGAAGCAGAGGAGGCCTGTGGCAGTGTATCACAGGGGCCACAGGAGAGAGATTCTGCCCAAAGCAGTGGGAAGGGTGAGACTACCACATCCAGAGAGCCTTTGCCAGCGTTGGATCCAGAGCTGAATAAAGACACTCCGATGGAGGAGGGTTATGTTGTTCCAGAAAAACCTTCAGAGAACCCAGAGCCCCCTGTCCCAGCACCAGCACCACAGAGCCAGCTTCCCCGCCCAGACAAGCCCTACAGCTGCTCCCACTGTGGAAAGGCATACGCTAGCCGTAGTGGACTTAAGGTAAGAGTTAACACTGTGCCTGAGACCAGAGTCAATGATTTCGATATTGTAACATGAAGATATTTGAATTGTGATGTATTTTTATGGCATGTATGCTGAGATTTTGTACTTTCGGACTGGAGTAAATGGCTATTGTGTTGTTTTCCTCATCAACAGGGACATATGAAAACTCACCCTGGAGCATTGACCAGTACCCCCTCCAAGGCTCAAACCAATGACAATGACATTGCAGAGGATCACAGTTCACATTCAGCCAATAAGACCCCGACACAGCAGGATGAAAAGCAGGGATTGGCTAAATCCCCTGAGAAAGGTGACAGCACAGATCCTCCACCGGTCAGTGTCGGTTCTGAGGTGGTGGGTGAGCCTATGGACACTACTGTGTAGAGAGTTAGTATTGCTGAATGGCTGCAGTCAGTTTTTAAATGCTCCTGACAAGGGAATGTATTTTTTTTTTAATAGAATGAGATTTGTTTTTAGAGTAATTAATTCAATATCATGTTTACCTTTTGTATTAAGCAGCTAGATGTAGTTTATATTGTAGTACCAATACAAGAGACTTTTGAATGTAGTATTTTAGCTATGTATTTTTGTATTTCAAAGACCACAGTGAGGCCTTATCTTACACACTTCACAGCATTGTCATGATGAGAATTAATTGTTTGCGCTTTTTTGCTGACATCTACTTCAGCACATACTGTATAATATCAAACCAGTATAAGCTGATTTAAAAAAAAAAAGTGGAGGATCCAGAATTTTACAAAAAGAACTCCATACCAAAATAGGCCAAATTAATAATGGCCAGTGTTTGTAAATATGAGCTGCGGTTATGTTTTTTTGCCTTTTTATTGTTCCTTTCTTCTTTCCTGTTTTTAATGCGATGCTGCTGAACGCATGTTTCTGATGTGCTGAGTTGCACTGTGAGTTGCACTGTGTCCCGTGCTGCCGAAACATCAACTGGAGCAAACACGTGCTAGCAATGATGATAACCACGATGATGATGATGATTATGATGATTATGGCGATGATTATGGCGATGATTATGGCGATGATTGTGTTTATATGATTATCAGTACTTTTGTGAACAGTCCCGTACTTATAGCTGTAACTTTTGCTAGCAACAAATGACCTTATCCATACTGATGATTGTAAATGGTTTTTCTTGTTGTTGATCTGCAGTGTTGAAGTGACAACAAGGATGAGCCCCGTCCGTTAAAACTCCCCCTCCTTTATCCCCCCCGCCCCACTCTCCTCTCTCAAAGCACTTGAGAGTTTTCTGCTCCTGCAGAAATTGTCTGCACTCACTGCATTCCTGCTTAGCCCAGTTTAGTATTTGTATGCTTTGCTTTACCCTTTGTAAACCTTTTTTTTTTGTAGCAATGACAAAATATGTTCCCATGGTTCCCATGTGATGTATAAAAGATAAATAAAACAATGGCGATGTGAAGAGGAGACCTGTTTGTTGCTCATCTGTGTTTTTTTTTGGGGCTGGGAGGTTTTTGTATTTATTGTCTGCAGTTTAAGCCTGTGTCTCTGTGAATTCATTTATCTGTTTAAGTATTCTGTTTGCATGACTCTCATTCTGTGTGCGCCTGCATGTACGCTCAGTTTTCTCGTGTTTGTTCCAGCTCTCGGTGTGTCTGGATCGAGGGGTCCTTTGTCTGGGGCGCTGGGCTAGCTGTCTCTTAATTCTGCTTTTTTTTTTTTTGCCCTCAGTGTCTTTTAATATGTTTCAGTTCCCCAGTACTGTGTGTGTGTGTGTGTGTGTATGTGTGTGTGAAAAGGATAATCAGAGCCTGTATGAGTGTGATTGAGGGTGCAGCTGTAGAGGCCGCCACCTCCCTCTCTCTCTCTCCCTCCCTCCCCTGCCTCTCTCTCCCCTCTCTGTGTCATACTCTTTCATACGCACTCTCTTTCATTTTCTCTTTCATTTCTCTCCCTCACTCTTTCTACTCACCCCCTCCCCCCTGTACCCCCCCACACACCCCCGCCTCCTCCCACCCCATGTAATGAGCTGACACACAGGAAGCTCTAATCCTCACACAATGCCACCCCTCTTCCCCCCAGAGTGACTGGGAGCGGGACAGGGGGCAACAAGGACCAACCTGGCCCAGCTGTCCCCAAAATGGCCGCCTTTAATCCCTCCAGTTTTTAGCCTACAGGGGCTCCCGAAACCATGACAACCGGTAACCAAGGACAAGAATGGCCAGGGCAGAAAGCGGGACAAAGGGAGTGAAAGGAGCCATGTGTGAGAAGTTTGTCCACATGCGTTCGTGAGCGACAAGGGACGTGTCTCAATCAAAAAAACAAGAAAGACAAAAAAAAAAAAAGTCAATTTAATAGTTTTCAATTTGAGGAAGAAGCAAAGAGGGGGAGTTGCAAACAAAAGTCCACAGGTGTGACGGTGATGGTTGCAGACTTTGATCACATGTTTATCACTCATCAATAAGCATTAATCATCTCTTTGTGGACATCAGTCATCTTCAATAGGAAGGACAAAAGTTTCTCAGGGTGTTAAAGGTCATGTAACTTGCAGATTTACCCTTCTATTATTGAACAAACGACAGCCATTTGGAAGACAAAGAAGTTGTTTTTCCCCATCAGCCATTAATTAATTTGACTTTCAAGTGATTAACAGCCATTTAACTGAAATGTGACTATATCTCCAGACCAGTTAGAGACACAATAGTTATGTCTTTTTAAATTATCATCCTCTTATCAGATCTTTTTTTGTTTTAAAGCAAAAATCTGTAAAACATAAAAAGAGTTGCGCACTGGGCAGAACACTTACTTTAATCCGTAAGCATTTATACGTACAATATAAACCTCTAATAAATAGCTTATAATACACTACAATGTAGTTGTAGGCAGATATGAGTTCATTAATTTACCAGTTGTATAATCTAATTGTGGGATAAAACAGTGAGGAGCATGTGTAGATAAAATAGGTAGACTAGAAGTAATTTACCTTCCAGTTGGAGGAAATTGAGGGAATAATAATAATTTCATTGAACGGATTCCTCCTGAAGGAAATTTTAATTTCTATTTCTTGATATTTAAATTTTTTTATCTAAAAAAATATTGATTGTGGTTGTTTGAATCGGCGTCTCTGTGTGAATAATGATTGAAATTGTCTTGTCATGAATCTGTTCCCATTTCTCTCTAGTTAAATAGACCTAGACCTCAATGAGACTTCCTGATTACACAGAAGTTAAGTGAACTAAAACTAAATGTTGGATTCTGAAAAAGGCTATCAACTGGCATTACATATTATTCTTGAAATTTATATTTTTTAAAAGGTATAATAAGATCACTGTAAATATTCTGGATAAAAGTACACATTATATAGGTTAAGTCCATTTCCTTCAGTAGGCCTATTTTTTTTAAATCCACAAGAGGGAGCTGTGGTCCACAGTTTTGTTTCCCAATAATCAAGCACAAGTATTTGACAATACATTTAATTATTCACAAATAATGAACATCAGCTTTACTCCTGTTGTGTTTACTTAATTTAACTTATTTTAATCATTGGTAGTATTACAATAAAACTGGTGCTTTAAAATGTTTTCCTTTTACCAGCATGTCCTGAGCATTATATTTCCGCTGTGATTTATTTATTTGAGATTTATAAATGCAGACTACTCTCGCATCAGTGGGGGATCACTTAAGACACCTAACAGGTCTAAGAGTTCACTTAACTAACTGATGTTGTATTTGCATGATAATATCCCTAAACACGCACGTTCCTCTATCGGTAATGATAACACCTGTTTGATGTGTGTGATAATTTAATTAAACCCCATAATTTCACTCAGAAAGTCACTCAGGAGACACAATGCGAGCCAATAAAGTACCTCTCTCTCTGCCCTCCCTCCCCCCTCCCTCCCCCTGACTCGTTTCCTTGGTAGTAAAGCGCTGGAAACCACAAGTACATAAAAAGCCACAAGTGCATCAGCTGAGGAGCGCAGAGCAGGAACAGAGAGTCACAGTCAAAACAGGAGGAGGAAGACGCGCCGAAAGGTTCAGAACCGAGAGAAACGAGGAGAAAGAACAATGAGAGGGCGAACAGGCGAGGAGAGGTGAAGACATCATTTCACCGAGGACTGCTGCTGCGCGTTTTGGACACACAAGAGGACCCAAACGGCGCTGAGAGGCGCCTGGAGAAGGTGAGCCAGCTTCTCTCTCCCCACCCGCCGCCACCTCCCCCCCAGAACAGCTGCTTGTACATTACTGCATCTTCCCAACACCGATTTTCAAGCTCGAGCCTGTCATTTATTAACCTGTAATGTCATTCAGCCCTATCTGAGTGTCTTTGGCGCATTATAAACTGCATCATTAAAATGTAATCCAGTGGGTGATCTGAGGAGTTTTAGGGGTTAGCCTGTGTGACAAACCAGAGAACCCCCCTTTTCCAGTGGTACAGGTTATGTAGGAGCTGGACATCCTGCAACCAGGTGATTCCTCCCCATGATATCTCAGCCATTTTTTTCAGCTCTAATTTAAACTCCCATAAAAGAAAGGAAATCCTCATGATAATAAAATGTTACTTGTTGATCAGTGCTTTATTAATCACTAAAAAAACACCATTGTTTGAAGGGGGGTTTTCTGGATCCAGGATGTAACCTTGAATAACTAATGAAGGACTACTTTATCAGCAGCTTTTGGACCTTGCACTCTCTCTTTCTGCAAGAGCCTCGCCTCTCAGTGTCTCCGGCACGCGTTTGATCACATGCATGGATACTCAATCTACTGTCCTTCACTTCGCAGTCACTTCCTTCATGAACCCACGTGCTGCTGATCTCCTGCTGCTGCTGCTGCCTCAAGGTATTTGGACTTTTCATTCACTCTCACAAGCTTCACATTTGTCTCTAATCTGAATTCTTACATCTACAGTGAAGTATGTTCTTGTGCGCTTATCTCTCTCAATTTGATGATCCCTTCCCCGCCTGGCTCTTTCTCATATCTACTTATTTAGTGTCATCTGTTTACCATCCTAGGATCAATTTTTTTTTTTTTTTACAACTAAACACCTCATTGTTCTTCCTATCTAAATCCATCTTTAAGGTTCCTGTATTGGCTCCATTTTTATACAATCTTAAGCCACTGTTCTTAGTCATTTGATCAATCTCATGTCTGGCTCTGCTCATCAATAAAGGCTTGAGGAGCTCAGAAGACAATTTAGGCGATTTAAAGGTGAAAAGTCACCTGAGATAAAAACATTTGCTAAATGTCGAGGTAGGAAAACTTACAGATAGTATTTGAAGTCACCTTGATGCGACAGCTACATCTAAACTTTTTATCTAAATATATTCTGGATCCTTTGGCGTAAATCACCCCAAAAAGTTTGTGTTTTTGAGGCGAACGTACATTTGAACTGAGCAGATTTACGACAGTTGTTGAAGTATCACTGCAAACTTGGCCTTGACGACAAACTCTTTCTCATTCAACACTATCATTAACATTTAATTAAATTTAAGGTGACTGATACATAGTAAGTGTGTGTGTTTGGGCATTAGATCGTGGCAAGTTGGAGCCTATAAGCGCAGAGTGACACTGACTTAAAGAAGCCGGTCGTGCAGAGAGGTGACTGAACATGCTGCCTAATGTGTGTCTGTCGCATCATCAAACTCAATACGCGCTGAGGATAATGAACTTTGGACCAGCCACACTGCTGACACTCTACATATGTGTGTGTGTGTGTGTGTGTGTGTGTGTGTGTGTGTGTGTGTGTGTGTGTGTGTGTAGGTGAATCGGTGGCTGGCTACGAGTCAAAGCGGTTTGTCTCCGTCAGTAATTCTTGCTTAGCTTAAGGTTACTAATGAAGAACTGGTGTTTTTAGGCATGCGGCGTGTTTGCTCCGCTCCCCTTCTCTCTGTCAATACACTCAACCTTAAAAGGCCATTTGCTGTTCGCTCTAATGGCTCTCCAATCCACAAAACTGCTCTCAAATCAGACAGTGTCCACACTGGTGTTGTATTATGTTTTTTTGCACATTTTTTCCTACTTTAGTGCCAGCGGCATGTAAATATGTTTTTATTTGACTGAATTTGGACAGGGTTGAAACAACACCAAGTATTTGCTGTGCGCTTACTATGACAAATCGGTCTCCATGGTAACAGCATCACTGATATGACTCTGTGTGTTGCCTCCACAGATGGCAGGAGATGATCACAGATAACTGAGGGAAAAGTCTCACTTCAAGACAGAAAACTCTTTGCAACTCTGCAACTGAAATCTTGTACAGAAAACAGTCCCACACTTTTTTTTTCAGTTGGTAAATAAACTATCAAAACACGAACAATGGCAGACTACACCCCCACCCCAACGCAAGAGGCGACTAATGGCGGCCCTCCATCTGCAAAGACCAAAGACTCTGAGGAGTCCATGAAGCTGAAGAAGGAGATCTCCCTCCTGAACGGGGTCTGCCTGATCGTGGGCAACATGATCGGCTCGGGGATCTTCGTCTCGCCAAAGGGCGTCCTCATCCACAGCGCCTCCTACGGCCTCTCTCTGGTGGTGTGGACCATCGGTGGGATCTTCTCTGTGTTCGGGGCCCTGTGCTACGCCGAGCTGGGGACCACCATCACCAAGTCGGGGGCCTCCTACGCTTACATCCTGGAGGCCTTCGGGGGTTTCCTGGCCTTCATCCGTCTGTGGACGTCGCTGCTGATCATCGAGCCGACCAGCCAGGCCGTCATAGCCATCACGTTCTCCAACTACATGGTGCAGCCCATTTTCCCCACCTGTATAGCTCCATACGTGGCCAACAGGCTGCTGGCTGCTGCTTGCATATGTAAGTACATATCTGGAGTGTGTGAATGTGTATCTTGTGTGTGACATGCGTGACAGAACGAGAGTGAAATAACAGACAGATGAGGCGGTGTATGAGTGAGTAAGTGACCTATAGATTCAGTGATGATGGCTGTCATAGCCACTGTTGGTTTCACATCTTAGACAAAGCATGTGAGCTTTAGACACTAGAGAAGTGAAAAATGGTGACACGACAGCTGAAGTCAGCAGGTCTGCAGCAGACAGACTCACTGACATCAGATGAAGGAGGAACTGAGCAAAACACAGGAAGAGTAAGGGGAAAAGTCCTTTTACTCAATATCAGAGCAATGATTTCCCAGCTGTCTTTCACGTGTGGACTTTAGTCATAGCATTTTTTTTTTGATCTGGTACAGGAAAGAAACTCTTCATAAATGTAGAAGTAAAACTTTCTGTATGGGTGCGGCTCAAATTGCTGAGGTAACTACAACACAATGTCTCTGAGAGAGCGCTAAGCCGACAAACTGAATTAATCAAACCGACAAGAAATTTACAAGACTTCTCACCGAGGCAACTGAGCACAACTCTAGAGGCAAAGAAATGCCAGCACTCAGGCAACCAGCTGCTGAGACAAGAAGCCAAAGACACACACAGAGCTTATTAAGGCGACACATCACAGATAAGCCCCGATATTCAAGATAAAAAAAAAACATACATATTGTGCTCGTTTGCGATAAATATTGCTCATTCATCCACCCACCCACCTGAAAGGCAGCCATGCATACACACTTAAATACAAGCACATACACACTTAATGCCACGCTCCGATAAGCAGTGCTCAGAGGAGTGCTGATAGCTGTGAGGTAAAGTCCTTACTGCGAGGAGACTCTGACCTGAGAGGCTAACGGGCAACTGACAGCTCAGCACAGGAGTGAAGTTTAAAACAAACCAAACCTGCTTCCTGTCAGTGAAGGTTCCTTCGCTGGCGACTGGGAATCTGTTGTTCCCCCAATTTTATATGAATATAGTTGAGATTATAATAAGGTTTTTGTCATGCTATTATTGTTAAAACTTCATTTTTACATCCTATTTTTTGTTAGTTCAAGTTAGAAGTTCTCACGAAAAAGCAGGTTAGCTTCCGCAGAAGTTGGTCCTAATATACAGAAGCTCGTTTATGCCAAGAAAAAGAAAAAAAAATATGAAAAAATTTGCACGATGAAAATAAAAATACTAAGTCAAAGTTGAAATAATAAGATAGTAAGTCAGAATTATGATAGGTTTGACCTAGTATGTTTCAATTTACTTCGTAAGTCAAACCTATCGTATATAAAGTCAAAACGTTCAACCACCACTTTAGTAAGTTATTTCTTTATTTCATATTTGATTTAAAATCTAATAATTTTGTCTTAATGAGTCAGGACTTTGACTTAGTATCTCCTTATTAGAAAGTCAAAAAACTGAAGTAAAAAGCTTTACCTAATTTATTTTGAGTCTTCCTTTCATGTCTTTGTTTCTTTTCTCTGCAGAAATGGGGTTTGTGAGTAATGTAACTTAGGTACTGTAAAGATGGTGCATTCAGACGATCTTAAACGCATCAGAAAAGCGTGTTTCCTTTTCATTTGCAGTCAAATTATGAAGCGGGAAAGTCAGTGAAAATTTTGCTTTCTGGGTTTTTAACTCATGAGACAGAATGAAAACCTTTAACTTTCACAAAAAGTTAAAAAAATAAAAGCAGTAATCATGAAGGAACCAAATCTACATCTTTTTTTTTTTCTTTTTTAGGATCTCATCATTCTCTCATTCAGTTATCTGTAGATTGAACGCTTTTTAGCAGCTGGCGTCCAGAGCGGTGGATTTGCATTCTCACGTGAGTTCACAGTTAGTGAGCAAGTGAATGAGTTTTTAAAGATCTCCATTTCACATCACATCTGGACCATGTTTGCCTTCCGCTACCAGTCAACCAGCCTCCTTAACCCAACCTCACACCTCCCACCCTTCTAGCCTTTCACTGTCAACACACCGCGCCTCCCACTTCTGTGTGGCACAGTCTCCCTCTCCATCGCTCATCGCTGGTCGCCCCCTGTCTGAGACGCTGTGTTTTGTTGTGTTTGACCGGGCGTCCTGTCGGGAGCGGACTTGTTATGATCCTCTAACCTGTCAATGTGGTGGAAGATGATAGTGTTATGATTCGCCTCCCTTTTACTGTGGCAGGAGGTGGTCGGTGTGGAGGAGAAGGCGGTGACGCAATCCTGTTTTGGTCTCTTCTTTAAATGTCTGGGTGATGTGGGGGTCAGTGTGGAGCGATAAGTGAGCGGGAGCGCCGTGAGCTGTGACTCTGGTGTAGATAAAATGTGTCCACTCAGCTTGTTTGCAGGTGAATTTGTTTAATCAGTGCTGACAAGACTTGTAGAGTCAGGAGGAGGATTTACACAACAAATACTTTCATCTGAAGGAGGTTTTTTTTTTAAAGGGTAAAAAGAGAAATGTATCACACTGATTAAAAGAAGTTTAAAGTGTATCACTGTTGCTCCTTAACAACTGGATAATTCGAGATGACTAGACATCATGTGCCCAGTTATTTCCACATTTATGAACTAGGAGGGATCGTGCGCTGATAAGACGCCAGAGACAGATAAGTCGCAAAAAACATTTTCCGTTTTCCAAGAACATCAAAGCTGCTCAGAGTGAAGAAGGGCAATAAATAAAAAGACCACTTTTCCTATCAGTTGCTCATAAACTCTGGTTTACAGCCCTTTAAGTTAGTCTCACTTCCATGACTGTACCTGTGCTGCCTTGTATGTGTATGACTGTGTGAGTGTGAGTGTGAGTGTATGTGTGTGTGTGTGTGTGTGTGTGTGTGTGTGTGTGTGTGTGTGTGTGTGTGTGTGAGGTTGTATGTGCTGCACTCAGCTGTTTCCTCATCTGAAAAACAACAGGCCAGTCTGCTTGAGTCAGCAGCAGCGTTTCCTTAAATCAGCCATACTCTCACACGGAAACATGCTGGCACACACCCAGTTTACACAGCAATGGGTTGTTTCTGTGTGTGTGTGTGTGTGTGTGTGTGAGTATGAGTATGAGTATGAGTATGAGTAACAAATGGATATTTATGAACTTCTCTCTCAGGCCTGCTGACCTTTGTGAACTGTGCCTATGTGAAGTGGGGCACCAGGGTCCAGGACTTCTTTACCTATGCCAAAGTCATCGCTCTCATTGCTGTCATCATCACTGGCCTGGTGAAGATCGGACAAGGTGCTGACTCTCTCACTGAGTCTTATCTCTTTAATCTTTAATCTTGCCATGATATCCTAAAATGTTAACATTTTCAAAGCAAATGCTTAGAGCAATACAGAAACTTAGATGACACCATGAACTTTAGATTCCTCAAGTCGATTTACAACAATTAAATCATTGTTTTGGTATTTTTCAGGTCACACTCAGAACTTCGAGGGCCTCTTCGATGGCTCGTCTCAGGACCCGGGGGGCATTGCTCTGGCTCTGTACTCGGCTCTGTTCTCCTACTCTGGATGGGACACCCTCAACTTTGTCACAGAGGAGATCAAAAACCCAGAGAGGTGAGGAGGCCACGAGATAAAGTGAATAGGACAACAGTACAGCCTGTTTGGGATGGTGTTGATACAGCCTACAGTGATAATTAATTTTTTTTTACTCTTTCTTATTGCACCAGCCACCACTGCACCTGTAGCCAAAGTCTCAGCTAATAAAGCCTCAGCAGCATCAATCCAACCACCACAACCACTGTAGCCACAGATCAGTAAGAGAGTTGAGTCCTCAACCATGGTAAAACAAGACTATTAGTCTACAGCCATGCTAGCGGCTGCTTCAAACTAAATGCTAACATCAGTTTATTCTCACAGTGAGAATATTAATACAGCGATGTTTAGGGATGTATAATGTTGACCATGTTCACCATCTTAGTTAGGCATGTTGGCACGCTAACATTTGCTTATTACCACTAAACGCAAAGCACAGCTGAGGCTGTTGGAAATCTCATTAGTTTAGCAACTGAACTGATAATAGTGCAGCAGATTAAACCCAAAATTATCATATTATTCATCTTCACGGGATCACGAATGTCTGAGCCAAATTTCCTGGCAATCCATCTAATAGGTCGTTGAGATATTTTACTCTGGACCAAAGTGAACCTATGCTGCTAGACTGACTAAAAACACAGAGAAATCCTGAAGGGTGCCATTAAATATTGTCCTACTGTATTTCCCAAATTGATATCTTATCTAATCGCAGTGCTGCAGGGCAAAGCTTTGGAAATAAGAGCAGCACTGTCTTAAATAAGCTCTCCTCCTCCTATCATTTATTTCCCTTTGACATGAATGATTGATTTTGAAGCTCACATTTTGATCATCATCTTCAAGCTTCAAGTGTTACGTCATGTTGGTATATCACTCACACTAGCTTTTGCATTTGACTTCACATTTGTAAATATGTAGTCATTATATTCATAGTTTAACATTTAATAAAACATTTCCACAATCTATGAGTGGATCTACAAACATCATCCTATTTGGTGTTAAAAACCAGTTACAGTGGATCTCATGAGATTATTGCTATGAAGCCAAAAAAAAAAAGCTTTCTTTCCAGTGCATTATAAAGATATATAAAGCTGCAGGATAAAGTCAATAATCAATAACAGATAACCTGTTGAGCAGTAAACAATGCACAGAGTTTGTTGTGATGTTTCTTTAGGAAAACACATTGAACGTGTGTGTGTGTGTGTGTGTGTGTTGGGGGGGGGGGGTGTTTGAGCCTTTTGCACAATCGGACACTGAGCAAATGAACAAAGACTACACATGTGATTGGATCACAAGCTTCTCCCAGGAGTTCCCAGGCAGATTAAGTGACAAACAAACCTCCCCCCTCCCAATCCCCATCCTTCCCTCCACCACGGGGTCGATCAGCTCTTGACCAGGAGACTCCCGATGAGTCATTTCCATCACTTCATCCTCAGCCTCCACATCTCATCTGTTTTTGCTTCCCCCTGCTGTTTCCTTGTGTGAATTACAGGAACCTGCCACTGGCTATCGCTATCTCCATGCCCATAGTGACCGTGATCTACATTCTGACCAACGTGGCGTACTACACCATCCTCCCCATGAATGCAATCTTAGACAGTGATGCTGTAGCTGTGGTAGGTGCCTATATAAGCCTTGATAAATCACCTTTATACTCAGCAAGTGCAGCTTTTGTTTAGGATTTCTGTCTTTCCTCTATAGACATTTGCAGACAAGGTGTTCGGCGTGATGAACTGGACTATTCCCCTCGCTGTGGCTCTTTCCTGCTTCGGAGGACTCAACGCCTCCATCCTGGCCTCCTCCAGGTGAGTGATTCCCTCTTTTCACGGTGACATTCGAATAACTTGTTATCGGAAACCTCACTGACTGTCACTTGTGTCCATCAGCGTCGCTCATCACCACTCCTCGTCGCGTATGTTTTGTGTGTCTTTAAAGGCTGTTCTTCGTGGGCTCCAGAGAGGGCCACCTGCCCGACTACCTGTGCATGATCCATGTCCAACGCTACACCCCCATCCCCGCCCTGCTCTTCAACGTCAGTCAGCCCTTAACATCTTTTTATTGTCTGTTCTCTAAACGTCTGATTTGGCTTCTGTCTTTCTATTCATTCCCCACATTTTCTTATTCTGACTCGCACTGTTTCTCGTACGTCTCTGCAGGGCATCATGGCTCTGATATACCTGTGTGTAGAAGATGTCTTCAGGTTGATAAACTACTACAGCTTCAGCTACTGGTTCTTTGTGGGTCTGTCCATTTTGGGGCAGCTGTATCTGCGCTGGAAGCAGCCGGATAGAAAGAGACCCCTGAAGGTAAATCAGTTTCACTGGTTGCAGGTTGTGAGATTTCAGTCGAAGCAATGTTTAAAAGTATTAGAAGAGTATCAAAGTGGAGCGCTTGTGGCGATTCATCGTCTCACCACTGTCCTCTCTCTCATCCTCCAACAGCTCAGTCTCTTCTACCCCATCATTTTCTGTCTCCTCACCGTCTTCCTGGTGGTTGTGCCGCTCTACAGCGACACCGTCAACTCCCTGATCGGCATCGCCATCGCCCTGTCAGGAGTGCCCGTCTACTTCCTCTGCTGCTACACTCCGGCCCACAAGAGGCCGCTGTGGCTACGCCGCTTCATCGGTAAGACACCTGCAGGATTTTTCTCATCGATATTATTATTGCCACAATATCCTATTTATTTTGCCACCTCTTCACTCTTATAGAAGAGACTTCAACACGCAACATTGCAATTTATCTTTGGGATTAGTAAATCAAATTAGAAGGATAGATAAATGTATATATGGATATGGATCGATGCATAGCAGGATGTATGAAACTGAAGGAATCTGTCTATTCACAATAAATAAAACCATTTCATGTGAATTTTGCTGCTTAGCCTGAGTCCTGAGGTGTTCTCAAACTGATTCCAGCTGTTTTCATTGGCAGCTGGATTCAGGCCGATGCACAAGTCGCTCTAACCTCTCTCCTGTCTCCACCTCTTTCAGCTCAGTCTGGCGTGCTGATTCAGAAGGTGTGCTACTCTGTTCTGACTGAAATGGATGTTGAGGACAAGGAAGAGTAGAGACGTTTGATTTTAACACCCTGCCGGAGACTGACGACGCACAAACATGGAGGCTCTACCCGAACTTATCATGGCCAGTCGCTAACCGCCGCGCAGCCTCGATGGACGAACATCTGGGCTTGAGCTGGACCCAGCTCTCTGACCTGTCAGTCATCGCCCGGTGATAATGTTAATGTATGACGGTGCCCGGGCGCTTGATGGCAAGATTTCACTCTAGCTGACTGTGACTTCAGAGAGAACATTTTAATGCACTCCTGAAGAAATCTACTCCTGTTTCTATCAGAAAACAGTAGAGAATTATTTAATTAATATATCAAGACAAGTTTTTCTTTGTGTGAAATTACATATATGTATTTTTGATCATACTGGAAGGTGGCAAATTAATATGGTTCAAATGTTTAAGCGGAACGGAGAATATCCTTGAAACTGAAAGCACTGCTGACCATAGAAACAGCCTTGGTATTACTATTAATATCATTTGCAAAAAGAAGAACCAGCATTAAAATAGATTTGATTACGTCACTCCACGTTCACCGCGGAGGAAAAAGTTCAAATAAAGTTTTATACTGTCATCTTTGAGGTCTAGAGAAGTAAAGGGCTATTTTTACACAAAGTAACTCATTTTTTTTCAGAAGTGTCTGATTCAAACACGAGCTGTTAAATGTAACTTTGAGACAGTTGAGCTGCAAACATGTATTTATAATAAAAAATTACTTATGGATAACATAAATCACTTCAATTGTTTTTCATTCCTCGTGTATCATGTACTCAAATATAAAGACAGTGTGCACACCGAAGTGGTTGTTTAGAGGCAGATTTTACATTTTAATTAGAATAATACACAACCCTTCCCCAACCTGTCCACTCTTCCACCCATAAATATGTACATAATTCATAATACCATCAATCTATGAGCAAATAAGACTTATACAACAGTGTCCTTCCATGGCTTTTCTTTGCCATGAGCTTGCTTGTCTTTAGTTGATGCTGCAGCAATGGGAGGGTTCTGCTGCAAAGGATTGTGGGTAAAAGTCTGCCTCATTGGACCTGTGGAGAAAAATGGACAGAAACAATTAAGTGAAGGAAATACATGCATTGCGGTGTTTGTTGTAAAGATATTTATCGGTTCAGTTCACACAGCAGCAGAGAAATAACCATGACAACAGCTCCATCTAGTCTCCAGGATGTGTAGGTACAGTTTATAAATACTGGTGGAGTCTCACTGTCTGGTCCTTTCCAGAGAGTGAGACTTCACTGACATTACACACATCTAAAAAACCTGAAAAGCCCCCCCCCAACATACAGAAAATGGTAATAAAACATGTTTGCCTGATGTAAGGCTGCAACTAATAATTATTTTCACCATCGATAAAATATACAAATTATCGTCTCACATAACTGATTCATTGTTTGCTCTATAAAAAGGCTGCAAAGTGCAGAGACATATTTAGTTTACAGTCATATAGGAAAAATATTCACATTTGAAACAAGTGACTTTTTGACAATTTTAATAAACATTACTTAAAAGTTAATGTGGGAATCGACACATTGACCAATTATCTCAGTACTAGTCTGAGATGATGACAACGAAACAACAGTAGTAAGATACTCACCGAGTGCAGCTGCTGCAAATTCAGCGAAAAAATTATGACTCTGTTTAATCCTCCAGGAATATGACTTGATTGTATTTCTCCAAAAGTTTTATATTAGAGTCCGAGTTTATCACCTGCTGATTTTACAGTGAGACAACTTTAAGGCCCCAAATGTCTGTGAATCAGCAACACTGAACTGAGGCTGTAGCTGCAGCAGAATTCTGTCTCAGCGTGTGTTTAATCACACCTTCAACTTATCCATGAAGCGAAATGAATATCCAGCAAGAAACTTTCTTTTCAGTGTGTCGATCTTAGGTAACTGTTTGATGAAAGACATGTCGTTTCAGAGGTAGGTATTTGATTTGATTCACCATTAATCTGCTCACACTCCAGTGCAAAGGGCTCAACAGCAAAGACAGAAAATACATTTGAGTCCTGATCAATACCAAGTTTCTGTAAGTGTCGTAACCTGCTACAGCCACAAGGGGGAGCACCTGTTCCTGCACCTGAAAGTTGTATCCTGGAGAAATCTAATTTCTTTACTACTATTATCCAGTGTTTTTTGTTTGTTTTTTTTAAATAGACTTTACAGTGTTTTTTTTAAAAACTACTAATTGAACACATTATTTTTAAATACCAGAGAGTTTGTTTTGTAAGATACTTTTTTCCCAGTTGTTTAAAAAATTATTGTGCATAAATTTTAGGATTGAGTTGATAAGATAGTGTCATATATCCTGGTCATTTTATCCAACCATGTTATTTTTGTAAAGCCACATGCAAATATATTCTTTTCCTTCCTTTCATTTGTACTTTTTTTTCACCTTTTAATCTCTTTTAGAAACTGCTGAAGAGGCGGGGAGACTGACCTTTAGCAGCGAGGTCCAGATGATTTTTGATCCTCCTTTCCCTCTCTTCCAGTTGCTGAGCCAGCTGAGCGTTCTTCCAGCCTGGAAACCCACACAGAGTTACAACATGTGCAACAATCAGTGTTGCAATTTCCTGTCATTTTTATTCGAGTGAAACAGCAATGAAAGCCTTTGTGGTTTAACATTACTATCTAAGAACCAATTGATCAAATGTCCTGATGTTTTAGGTTTATGATTATAACACCTACCCTTCTTCATGGTTGCGAAGAAGCCTTCGTTATTGGGCAGAGCGCTGTCCGGGTGTTTGATCCTCTCTGGGATCCTCAGCCTATCTCTGACCCAAGGGTGTCTGAGCAGAGCGACTTGACCCAGGGAGAAGCAGTTAGAGGTCAGCCAGTAGGTGAACACCGCCTGAAGTTAGTTTGAGAAGAAACATATTTTAGGAAGCGTTTTCTCGTACTAAGTGCCATTTAAGTAAGATGTGGGTTAAACCTGTAGAATACGAACAAAAACTGATGTGAGTGAATGACAGACTGACCGTGGGGAAGTTGATAGTGAGGGGGAGGATGACTAAGGGCATGATCCTGAACACAGTCTTCATGGCTCTCAGATTGGGGTTGTCAATACCAGACTCTGCACCCAACTGTAAGAGAAAAAAAAAAGTTTATAACAAGATCATAACAACAACTAATGCGAACTCTGTCAGTCTCATAATTTAAGGCTCATGCTGATTCTTGTCAGACTTTTCACAGTGTTTTACTCTTACTATGTCTGCCTCACCTCCAGGATGAAGAACATGGTTCCAGTGACGGCTATGGGCAGAATATAAAAAGGATCTGCTGCCGTCAGGTCTGGAAACCAGAGCAGACCTCCCGTCTGCATGCTGGGCACCGGCAGATACGCCATCTTCCTCAGTGCGATGAAGAAGGAGACGAAGACTGGCGCCTGATTGAACAGACAGATAATGATTTGATCATTAAAAGATATAAAATTTCTTTCAATCAGTTCCTGATCATTCATTCATTTATTTCCTGCAGGTTTAACCCCATCAAAGGATAATAATAGAAATAATGACATGAAAATTAATCCTACTTTAATCACTAACAATTTTTTTTTTTTTAAACCTGACTAGAAAATTAAGATTTGTAATTTTCAATGATCAAAAATACTAAAAGATATTCTTTAAGTATCATACCTCAATAAAACGTAAAGGGGGATGGTTAAAGAAATGAACTGACCTGCACTAAAGGAACCAGAAAGCCGCGGAGAGGATTCACATCATGCTTCTTCTGGAACAGGTTCAGGTCAGAGTAGGCTTTGGCAACTGCAACACAACACAAAACCAAGATTGATGAAATTGATCAGACTGGACACACATACACATGCAGAGACACACACATCTGTATTTTGACAAATTTAATGGAGAGAGAGGAATGAAAATTTACATTCAAATTTGTTTCCACTCTGTTTGGCCTCGGTCATCCTGTTGGTGAGTTTGGTCATCTCAGGCAGCACATTGTTCAGCTTGGCTGCCTCTCTCTGGCCCTTCACAATGACTGGAAACACAGCCATACGAGCCAGCACCGTTCCTGTGTGAGTGACAGATTCATAGAAAGAGGATAGAGGAAGAACAGAATGAAGGACACAGGAAAATAAACACACGTCGTTTGTGCTGCTCAAGCAAAATATCACCGTTAGATACTGATGTAATTCACCAGAATGCAAGACTTTTCATACGTTGACTTAAAAGTTTTTGTTGAGCCACGCTTACCTACAACGATGGCCCCCCACCAGGGCATGCCGAGATCCAGGTGCATGAACTCTAAAAAGTTCTGGATCAGTCCCACAGGTGTGTGGCCGGCCAGTCCCAGCTCTGCTAAAGTGGGTTCTGTAGTCGCAGCTTGCAGGACCTCCACCGCCGTCGGTGCCACACCAGCAACCTGGTCAATGACTGGCTGCGCTAAAACAGAGGTGGGGTCAGCGGGCAGAGAGACAGGGGAGGACTCCAGGACTGGAGCACTGTCAGGGGCTGCCATTGATCCATCCTTGGGTGGGATCTGGAAATATCGATATACATCTAGTATCAGTGTATCAATATATTTTAGTAGGAGTGGAACAAAAAAATTGTATTAAAACCTGTTACTGCCAATATTGATTGGCAGTTTTATTTTTAAAAAAAGGAGACTACATACTTTAATAAATTTAAGTTATTAATGTTTTCCGATGTGGTATAACATTTGTTTACATCAGTAATAACTGTAAATGAGGCAGTAACACAAGCTAATATTTTCAAATCTAATTGTTAATCTCATGTACAAAATGTTTATTTTTCTCTAGGTCTCAATTATTTAAAACACCTGCAAGTACACCTCAGGGTGTTCACAGCAGTTCCACCTGAGCTTTAATGATGTACTGACTTTGATCCGACAGAGCTGCCATTCAGTGAAAAGTCTCAGACAACAGCAGCTTTGCTGTAAGTCTAATCACCTGTGAGCTGTTGTGTCTGACTGCCACGGCGTTCACCCACAGGAACTTCCCATGGTGTCTGCGGCCCAGCAGAGTCCTGGTGGCCGGACTGCGACACTCAAACACTGTGTGGAGATGGGACCTCTGGAGCAACCGCTGTTTGGAAAAAGCAGAGGGTCACAGTGTCAGCTGGGTGCACACTTCACACGATGAACAACAACCTGATGACAAATATTGGGGCTGCTGTTGTGTCACACAGCATCTGCCTAGCTTGGTGGGGGTTTAAGGGTTCAGCTAAACTGGACTTTTAGCTTTTCCCTGTTTATTATCATTGTAAACTGAAAGTGAAAATGTACAAAACCAGCAATGGGCTGAAAAGTGCTGATGTTTTTTTTTCTCCATAACCAAGCGGCTAAATGATGTATTATAAAGTAACCTAATTCAGAGGAGAGCCACATAATAATGTCATATGTTACTATATTACTGACAAATCCTGTCAAGCTTGCTGAGCCTGAAGTGGTGCATTAATTAAAAGATTTATAATCTAAACTTTTTCCATTTTTACCCTTTCACTTAAGTCCAGACAAAAAGGGGCCCAGATGTGCAGCAGGTTTAAGTTAAACCTAAGTTGCAGTGACCTCTTGTGGCATTTGGGGTTTTATGCAGGACTCAGCAGCTGGGTTTTGGTTTATACTTGTGGTTTAGACTAAACATGGGTTAATTAACTAGTTGGTTTAAACTCATCCTGATCATAAAACCACAGCTAAGCCCGTGGCAGAGTAACAGCCCCAGTGTCTTTACTCCAGGAGAAATGTTGAGGCGCAAATGTGACAACACTTCGATAATGTCACAAATAAGGTCCTGGCGCTCATTAGCGCGTGTTCAGTGCCTCTGGCTAAATTGCACGTTATTCTGGTTTAAAAAACCAAGTGATTTAGCTGTTATACTAAACACATGTCTTTTCCAGAGAGGCTGTTACAGTCAAAGTCACACAGAAGGCATGCACTCATAACTACGCAGCGAGGATGCTAGCCGGCTAGCGAGTTAACCGGAGAGAGTCGCTGTTCGTGTCTTTGTTTCAGACGCGGGAATAAAGCAGCAGACGTGGAGCAGTAAAGATGACCTACGTGGCTCCAAACGTCTGAAAGAGGAAGGCTGCCTCGGCTCGGTTTTCCAGTCTGTCTCAGGAAACATCTTGCTAGGCAGCCCGGAGTCACCCCGCTCCTGATGGCAGCCATGTTGACAGGGAAGATGATGACCTGCTACGGAAAGCGCGAGGAGTCAAGTCTTTGCAACAGAATTCGCGTTTTTGTTTTTTTGTTTTTTTTATAACTTTGATTCCGGTTTCTAGTGGCTCTCCAGGTACAATGTACACGCAGTGTCAATAACAGTGTTTAGGAAGATACACATGGACTATTATGTTCAAGCAAGTAGGTAGAAAAATAAATAAATAAAAATGTTGCATGTTGCAAAATGTTGCATGTTGCAAAATGTATGTTGATTGATTTTGCTTTCATGTGTGGACTTCTATTCTTCATTTTGTCCACCTTAAAAACATGAGGATAATTCATCTTGAAATAAATTACGGTACCTGTCTGTTTGTAATTGTGCGTTATGAGAAGTGGGCCCACAGTAGTGATGAACTCTTTCATTTTCCTCAATAAACAAACTAGCGCATATAGTTCAGAGATGGATGAATACTAAAACAATAAATATAGAATTCATAAAATGTGGTTCGGACAGTAATATTCACATTCACAACATCCACAGCAAATAACTGAGTTAGAAACAAAAATACTAAAAGATTTGTGTGCGTATGTGTGTGCGTCAGTCAATATATTTCCAGCAGCTATATGGCATCTGATCACAACAGTACTTTCTCACAGGCTTGTCCATATAGTGTTTTCTTGATCAGACAATATGGAACAGAGTGTGTGGCAAAGATCAAAAGTGATTATCAAACACCAGCACACTTTGTCCTTGTCACTCTGTCTTAGATTTGCATGACTGCTTCATTTAGAGCAGGGTGGAAGCTTGGCGCTTGATCCTTTCAGATATTCTCAGCCTCTCTCTGACACATGTATATGAGTTAGAGGCAGAGGTATTTTTATTTCAAAGAAATATTTCCTGGTACAAAGTGTTCTTTCAAAGTCTACATGATATGATCGCAATTAAACTAGCAGAACAGGCCACAGACCTATGAGAGGCAAAATGACTGTGGGAAAGATGCTAATGTGAAGGGGGATGATTTATAATCCTGAACACAGGCTCACAGATTGGGTTTGTCAGTACCACACTCAGATGTAACCTGGCAAGTACAGTATAAAAGGTTTGTGTGATTAAATTGAATGTTACGTTGCATATAATTATTGTAAAAACTTGTGTCTCTGTTTTTAAAAATCCAACACTACACAGCAGGGAAATCTCTCCTACCATCATGACCTGTGACCTTTCACAAAAACAAGGTGTCCAAGGCTTTGTTATTCTTATTTTATATACATATTTATTTATTCATTCATTTATTTAAATCACCATCAGAAACCCTCAAGTGGGACAAAGGTAAATGACAACACAACAACCGTTTGGTTTGATTCAAAGTGATGAACATAAAATCCAAAGCATCTATGACATTAGTCAGTGGGCAGTAATGGTTTACACGAACTCGTAAACAACACTGAGATCAAAAAGCTAAATAATTTATACCACCACATAACAGTGAAATAAGAAAAAACATACAAGTGTTAATGCAAAGATTTACATTTGAAAGTCATTTCTTCACTCGATCTCTGACTGTCTGAAATCACACATTACATTTTGTGGCATCTACTGATGCATAATCTTTAGTTTAAAAAAAACATAAAAGATATCAGGTCAACACGTTACACAAAACACACAAAATCTGGGTGATCAATGTCAGTGAGTGTAAGCTAATTGTAAATTAAATGAACATAAAGGTGAATCTGTCTGCTTGTGTTACCTTCTATTACAGGCTGATGCAATACAGCAGCACCTTAATCTAAAACATCCCTCTCGCTCATTAAACCTTTTCCATTTGAAACAATCCTGTGGTAAAACAGGAAGTGATCTTATTCCGACTTCGACTCTGCCTTTTTCCGTTTCCTCTTTAACATAGGAAAACACCCAATGGTCTTGTTCTTTTTTGGTTTTTCCTTTCTTTCCTTCTGTTTCTTCGGCAAACACCACAATCCTCCCATCATCTTATGTCCTTTTTTCATGACACTTTTTTCTCCATCTTGTGTTTGTGCATCAGATTCTTCTCTTGCATGTGAATAAGGAACGATCTCTGTCTCGTTCTTCCCTTTTGCTTTTCCACTGACTTTCTTGGCTTTGTGTTTCTGCGGCTTTGGCAAAGGTGAATCATTCAGGTTTATACTGCGAACACCCTCTGTCAAAGTGACCACTTCATCTGGTTTTGGATCATCTTTTCCTTTAATACTCCCTCTATTATTTACCCGCCTCTTTATACTGTCCTGTGAAATTTTCTCTACAGTTTCCATGCCACTGCTTCTTTCACTCTCCTGAACTCCTTCCACTGTTACGTCCTTAAATTCAGCTCTAGCTGTAGACTGAGAATTTCCCGTCTTTTCTACACTGCCACCTCTCCGTCTCTCGGTCAAGCTTCCCTTTCCTGCCGACCCTGCTTGTCTAAGAGACGAGTCATGTCTGATTTGAATATGCTGAGTATCTCCTGCATGTTTCTCCTCTCTGACTTGTTTCTCCGAACCCACACTTTCATGTCTTTTATGTGTAACGCTGATGTTCTGCTCCGGTCTGTTCGGTCTAACGTCAACTCTGCGGCTCTGATCCTCTACATCCTGACCAAAGTGTTGTCGTCTCTCTGATGCTCTTATCTTTCGTGCGGGTTCATCATCTCCTCTCTTTTGTTCCTTGTCTCCTTTAACATCCCTCCCCTCCTCTTTCGATGGTTCATGCCTTTTATACGACCTGCTACTTCCTCCCTGTTTATGCGTCCGACCGTCTTCGCCTGATACGTTTTGTTTTCTATCACCAGACCTGTGAAACTCATGAAAGTTAAAGTCAGATTTTGACAAAAGCTTTCCTCTTCCAGATATGAGTTTATCAGCCCCAGTCTTTCCTCCCTCCTCATCTTTAATATCTTTTTCCATCTCCTTCGCATCTCTGTTTTTGTCTACCCTAACTGGTTGAAGGTTATTCTCTTCTCTAACTTCCTGTTTAGCTCCCTCGTCGTCATTGACATGTTTAACAATGTCTGATCCTTCACTGGCCTCATCCTTTGCATCCCTGTTGGGGTATTTTGTCAAGGATTTTCCCTTCTTGTCTGACTGTTCATCACCCGCAGTCTTTCTATTCTCGTCTTTATTTACATTCATTACCTTTCTTTCCTCATCCCTCCGCATGTTCACACAAACCTGTTGAGGATAATCGTATCCTACATGCATGTCGCTGACTTCCTGTTTGCACTTCTGTTCATTATAAGACGTGTTGTGTACGACTTTTCCCTCCAGACACTCCTGTGGTCTGTTCAGTCTAACATTATCTTGTTCTCCACGGTAACTGTCCTGACCCTCCCTGCTCTCTTCAGGACGAGTTTCTGTAGAGGACGGCCCTCTCTTTTCTGCCTGCTCACCAGCTCCTGTATCATCTTCCTCCTCCTCATCATCCCTCATTATTTTCCCCTCACCTCTCTCACGTTTTTCAGCATCTTGATCACGCAAGTCACTCCTTTCCTCACGACACTCCTGATGATTGTGTGGTAGGCTCTGTCTGACGTCAACTACGGACCCGACACTAACCGTGTCTCTAATTCCTGTTTCTCCATTTCTGTCAATGGAAGCAGCCTCCGCAGTGTCGTTACCCACTTCTGCTGTCTCCTCGACCTCCTCTCTCTTTCTTTTCTTTGCCTTTTCCTTCTTCTCATCTTGACACGGCTCGTCGTTGTCACCAGCAGCAGGCGGGAAACCTCCATTGGTGGACACCTCCTTCATGTCTTGAGTGCAAGTATCTGCAGCGTGGGCTAGAAAATGGTATATCAAATAAAACAATTAACAAAGAAATTTCATGCAGTAATACATGAGTAAGAATTATGAAAATATGCAGTATGTCTCTTACTTGTCTTTTTCCTGTAAAAAAGAAGATAAGCGCTGCAGGAACTAGTGGGAGAAATGTGAAAAGAAAGTAACGTCATTTTAATGTTCAGCAAAATAAAAGGTGGGAAAAAGACGCACTTAAACTTACCTCTCACTGTTATCCACCTGGAATGGCTGGTAATCAAGCTGTTGATGAAAATAATAACCAAACATTAGATCATAAATAAATAATCAGATAAATAAATAACTACAGTAATGTTGGAGTTGAAGTGATCAATCTTACCAATGAGACTCTGGCATCATTGAAGTTATACCATCTCTCATCGTCCTCTAACTTAACTCTTGCAGTGTAATGTCCACTTCTCAGATCACCAAAGTGATCCACAACTGCGTACAGTTCATACGTCTGATTCTGATCACCAACAGAAAAGTGACAGAAATTAGGGTCAGGAATGAAAAAGAAATGTGTTATGATAAAATAGTAAAATATAAAGTATATATACCTCTGGGATCTGTAGGGTGCAGGGAAAATCCACATCACAGTTGTTTTTGACATACGCCATGTAATGGTAGTTAAACTCAAACCTCTTCAGCAGCAGCATCAAAACCTCTGGATGATGCTTTATGACACATTTCTGAAAGAAACACATGTCAACATGTTGTTATAATTCCCTTCATGAAGTCTCAATGCTCTCATTACAAAATCAGTTAATGTGCATGAATCAGAAACATGTTTTCTCATTACTCACAATAGTAGCATCAGATTTGTCATCACACTGGTCACAGTACATCTGGTTTTCTCCACTGAAGTTCAAATCTCTGAAATACTCCTCAGTGCCGGCCATCTAAAGAAATACACTCGTGTCATTTGCATCTGACAGATAATATTGTATCATCTGCATAAAAATGGAGAGATTAATGTTATATATGTATAGACTGATGGCAAGAGGGTCACATGTTAAATTGAAATACCTGCTGACATTACTGACCATTCAGGTGAAACACGCTTGAAGGTTTCAACACACACAGTAAGGGGCAGAACAGCAACATTTCTCTGTGCACCCCAGCAGGGCAAGAACCTAATTAGAAGAAGCTAATACCATATTCCCATTTTGTGATACATCACAAATGTTCAATGAGATCACCGGTCCAAAAATGTTAGTCTGTAAATGTCATATTTAGTCTAGTAGTTAAATGAAGTTTGCAGGTTGTCGGGTTCTTACCACACTGTAGTGTTCACTGCAGGAATCCACCAGTTCAAGAGGAAGATGCCAAAATAACCCGTCTGCGTTTTTCTCTGTGAGACATTTAGAACATATGGTCTTGTGTGTCAACTCTCCGTGGAAGATCTGAAAACACAAAAACAGAGACACTGATAAACGTGTTACTTCTCATATTACTTAAATACTTCCCTTCAATACTGATGATGTCGTTACCTGTGAAGCCTCATCACTGGTCAGAGCTAAAATCTTCTCAAAGTACTCCGCAGCATCTTGCTGTTCGTACACTGAACAGAGAAGAAATCAGTATTTATTCAGGAAATTAATAAAAATAAAATAAAATAAAATAAACATAAAGTTACCCTATTGACTTGAACATAAAAATACCAACAGTGGATTTTAAAAAGTCTTTATCAGATACTCTGTCTACAATAGATAAAATATTTTAAAAAAGATATAAAATAACAGGATGTTATTTTAAGATGTTAATCTGAGTTAACGTCATGTCAACTGATCAAATTGTCCCTTCAGCATGAAGCCTCTTCAGAGGTTGCATGTTTTTCTATGTGCCCACTACTGTACCTCTGTCGATGCCCAGCCTCTTTGTGATGTTATAGGTGCATGCTGTTTTTTTCTTTAAGACATCAAACATGTCTTTAAGATGAGAGTCAATACGCTCAGGGTCAGGGTTTCCACACATGTACCTGAACAGAATTCAGACAGAGGCTCCATGAGTGACACAAAGATGCACTGTTGCCCTAATTTAAAATAAAGACATTATATGACATGGTTTTGGACTTTGTAACAAACCTCTCCACAGCCTCTCTGAAGCCTTTGGTCATGAACAGCACCTGCAGCACACTGTTCAAGTAACACGTTGCTCCTTGGTTCCTCAACCCATGGTACTTGATATCAGCTGCTGGGAGGAGAGTTTTATCAGATGCATGTAAACTGTAGAAATGTCTGAACACCACTAACCCGGCCAGACAGCAGGTATATCTTACCTGGAGGGGGGCGAGGGGGGTTGAAAAACTGTCGACCGCTTTGCGCGAAGTTCATCTTGATTCTTTTTTTCTTGAAGACTTTATCAGTCCACTTCCACACTGCTGCCAGCTGCACGGAGATTTGCAGTTTCACGATCAATTATTGGCAATCAATCAAGTGAAACCAAATTAAACAAATACGAGACAGAAGGGAATGTGAGCCTACCTTCAGCTGTGAGAGTCACACTGTGAAGACATTCCTTCAGATCATTGCAGGAAATTCACAAAACAATTTCTCCTCTGCTTGTTATCGATTCACACGAAAAATATTCTGCCACTTGTTAAACCCTGAGATTACTTTCTGTTTCACTATTGCGTGATTGGATGGAATGCTGCGTTCAGGGTCACATGATTAACAGGAAAACTGAAGATCATTGCACGAATAGTGTTTTGTTGGTCAAAATAAAACACAAGCTGCCAAAAAGCTTCTTCTCTGTTGTAATTCAGCCACTGACTCAAGGAGATTTTCTATAAGACAAATTGTGACAAAGGCTCTTTGATATAGGAGCTCTACAGGAGGAGTGACCTCTCTGTCTTAGAACAAGGCAACACAATATAACAATATGAAGCCATCATATGATCCTCTAATGTTATTTATGTCTTTTGCTTATTATTTTAGACGTATTTTTATTTAGCGTATTTAAATCACAATCCCAATCTTTCAAGTGGCATAAAGTTAAATGACAACACACTGGTCTGGTTTCAAAGAAAGAAATAAAATGCATAGAGTTTTTTTTTACCATAATGACCTATGACCTTTCACAAAAAAGGCAACAAAGGCTTTATTATTATCAATTCAGTTTGTACGTATGTTTTTATTCGTTTAAATCACCATCAAAATGCTTCACGTTAGATCAAAGTAAATGACAACACAACAGTTTGGTTTGATTCAAAGGGATGAAAATAAAATCTAAAGCACCTATGAGATTAGTCATTGGGCAGTAATGGTTTCCATGTGTAGGGAACTTAGCTGGTAAACAACACAGAGACCAAAAGGCCTCTTTTATGAGAGTTAAGTGACCTACAAAACAAGACGACACATTAAAGGTTTACGTTTAAATTTCCACACACACAATCTTTTACCTTAGGCATATTACATGTTACATTCAGTACTATCTCTTTTTATATCTCTGAACGATTTATATTATAAGTAAAATGTAACAGGTAAAACACACGTCTTCAACAGTATGAATTATAAACGTGACGCAGAGCAGCAGCACACAAGTAAATCATTGATCACTAAAAGTTACTAATTTAAGCTTTTACATTTGCTGGTCTTCAGACAGGAACAAACAGGAAGTGAAGCATTTTACATTAACCATTACAAAAACCAGGAAAGTCCATCTGTTAAACGGACTGAACCAACGTGAAGAAAGAGAAGAGACAGACTCAAAATACATTCACCAACGGGAACAAAGGTATGTCCATACTACCCGATCACTAGCAGATCTCTGACGAGTGTCAATAAGCATCAATTAAAAACTAAAAGTAAGATCTTGTGGACACCACACGGACATGCAGTCTTGTAAAATAACAATTTATATTATCTTTGATCTGACTCTGAAGTCAAGTCTGGATTTTTCTGGCTTTTGCAAAAACCTGCACGTAGTCGTTTTGTTCTGTTTCTCCTTTTTTGCTTTCTGTGTTTCTTCAGCGGGGCAGTGGTATGCCACCATCTTCTCCTCTTTTCACGTGCAGCTCTTTTCTTCACTGCATATTTTTGCATGTGTGCATCAGGCACTTTTCGCGTTGCCTTGGCATTCGAGTAAATAAAACTGTTTGTCTCATTCTCTTCTGGTGCATTTACAACGACGCTTGTGTGTCTGTGTGTCTGTGGCTCCGGCAAAGGTGAATCACTCGGCTTTGAAGTGCAAACACTCTCACGCCAAGTCGTTTTGTCAGCGCTCTCTTCACTATTTACCTGACTCTTAACGCTCTCTTTTGAGGTTTCCACGGTTTCAATTCTTATGGTCTTCGTCTCGCTGCATCTTTGAGGACCATCAGGGGTTTCCCTAACTTCTTCCTCAATTATCTTCCCATATATCCTTGAGTGCTTCGACCCACCTCTACCTTCCTCTCTAACCTCCTTTAATCCAGTTGTTTCTCGCGGCTGAGAACCCCCCAGTCTTGTCTTTTCAACACTTTCAACTCCCTGGTTCTCGGTCAGTTTTTCCCTTCTTTCCGAGTCCTCTTCTGTTCCCTTACTTTGTGCAGGATCATCATCTGCTCTCCTTTGCTCCTTGTCTCCCTTAACATCCCTCCTCTCCTCTCCCTGTTGCTCATGTCCTTTATACAACCCGTCACTGCCGCCCTGTTTACACCCCTGATCATCCTCTGGCATGTTCTCTTTACTATCACCAGCTCTTCCATTCTTCTGAGGCACATGATAGCAGAGGTCATAAAAGGTCAAGAGCTTTCTTCCCCCTGGTGTTAGTTTATCAGCTCCAGTCTTTCCTTCTTTGTCATCTTTACCATTTGTTTTCATCTCCTCCTCTTTGCCTAATCTTTCATTGTCCTGATAATCTATATCCATGCTGGGGGAGTTTGTTGGGGATTTTTCCGTCTTTCCTCCCTCCTCATCTTGCTCTTGTTCTTTGGTGTGAACATCTTGATTACGCAACTCACTCTTTTCCTCATTCAACCACTGATAGTTATCAGGTGGTATTATCTGCCTGACATCAGCTCCATTGACCTGATCCTCTACCTTACAGATGCTGTCAGCTGATAGGGCCACTCCTCCAGACACAACACTGACCGTGTCTCTAATTCCTGTTTCATCATCCACCATAACATCCACTGCAGTGTCACTAGCCACTTCTACTGTCTCTTCACTCTCTCCTGTCATTTCAGCATCGTGACTCTGGTCATGGTTGTCAACGGCAGCAGGCGGGAAACCTCCACTGGTGGGCACCTCCTTTTTGTCTTGAGCACAAGTATCTGCTGCGTGGGCTAGAAAGTAGGATTCAAATAAGTTCAAGCAAAGTACAAAATACTTTGATGCAATCATTCACACTACATGTGAGTAAGAATAATGAAAATATGTCTCTTACTTGTCTTTTTCCTGTAAAAAAGAAGATAAACACTCTGGGAACTAGTGGGAGAAATGTGAAAAGAAAGTAACGTCATTTTAATGTTCAGCAAAATAAAAGGTGGGAAAAAGACACACTTAAACTTACCTCTCACTGTTATCCACCTGGAATGGCTGGTAATCAAGCTGTTGATGAAAATAATAACCAAACATTAGATCATAAATAAATAATCAGATAAATAAATAACTACAGTAATGTTGGAGTTGAAGTGATCAATCTTACCAATGAGACTCTGGCATCATTGAAGTTATACCATCTCTCATCGTCCTCTGACTTAACTCTTGCAGTGTAATGTCCACTTCTCAGATCACCAAAGTGATCCACAACTGCGTACAGTTCATACGTCTGATTCTGATCACCAACAGAAAAGTGACAGAAATTAGGGTCAGGAATGAAAAAGAAATGTGTTATGATAAAATAGTAAAATATAAAGTATATATACCTCTGGGATCTGTAGAGTTCTGGGAACATCCACAACACGGTTGTTCTTGAAATATATCATGTAATGGCAGTTAAACTCAAACCTCTTCAGCAGCAGCATCAAAACCTCTGGATGATGCTTTATGACACATTTCTGAAAGAAACACATGTCAACGTATTGTTATAATTCCCTTCATAAAGTCTCAATGCTCTCATTACAAAATCAGTTAATGTGCATGAATCAGAAACATGTTTTCTCATTACTCACAATAGTAGCATCAGATTTGTCATCACACTGGTCACAGTACATCTGGTTTTCTCCACTGAAGTTCAAATCTCTGAAATACTCCTCAGTGCCGGCCATCTAAAGAAATACACTCGTGTCATTTGCATCTGAAATTAGCTGCCACAGATGTCCTGACCGGTTTAATGGGTGTAAAGTGTTCATGTCTTCTCAAGAAGGAAGTTCTTTAACTTGGCATTCAGGAAGAAATCTACTGCGAAGTTTGCAGGTTGTCGGGTTCTTACCACACTGTAGTGTTCACTGTAGGAATCCACCAGTTCAAGAGGAAGATGCCAAAATAACCCATCTGCGTTTTTCTCCGTGAGACATTTAGAACATATGGTCTTGTGTGTCAACTCTCCGTGGAAGATCTGAAAACACAAAAACAGAGACACTGATAAACGTGTTACTTCTCATATTACTTAAATACTTCCCTTCAATACTGATGATGTCGTTACCTGTGAAGCCTCATCACTGGTCAGAGCTAAAATCTTCTCAAAGTACTCCGCAGCATCTTGCTGTTCGTACACTGAACAGAGAAGAAATCAGTATTTATTCAGGAAATTAATAAAATAAAATAAAATAAACATAAAGTTACCCTATTGACTTGAATACAAAAATACAAACTGTGGATTTTAAAAAGTCTTTATCAGATACTTTCTACTGTATGTTAACACGTCTGGTGCCCAGGGCACAGATAAAATAACATCTAATTAATCTGTTAACTTCATGTCAACTGATCAAATTTCCCCAAAAGTTGGTTTGTCCCTTCAGCATGAAGCCTCTTCACAGGTTGCATGTTTTTCTATGTGCCCACTACTGTACCTCTATCGATGCCCAGCCTCTTTATGATGTTATAGGTGCATGCTGTTTTTTTCTCTAAGACATCAAACATGTCTTTAAGATGAGAGTCAATACGCTCAGGGTCAGGGTTTCCACACATGTACCTGAACAGAATTCAGACAGAGGCTCCATGAGTGACACAAAGATGCACTGTTGCCCTAATTTAAAATAAAGACATTATATGACATGGTTTTGGACTTTGTAACAAACCTCTCCACAGCCTCTCTGAAGCCTTTGGTCATGAACAGCACCTGCAGCACACTGTTCAAGTAACACGTTGCTCCTTGGTTCCTCAACCCATGGTACTTGATATCAGCTGCTGGGAGGAGAGTTTTATCAGATGCATGTAAACTGCAGAAGTGTCTGAACACCACTAACCCGGCCTGAAAGCAGGTATATCTTACCTGGAGGGGGGCGAGTGGGGTTGAAAAACTGTCGACAGCTTTGCGCGAAGTTCATCTTGATTCTTTTTTTGACGACTTTATCAGTCAACCTCCACACTGCTGTCAGCTGCACGGAGATTTGCAGTTTCACGATCGAGTATTGACAATAAATCAATCGCAATGTCTTGCAAACGAAAAGAAATAAAAGACGGAAGAAACCCATGAGGCTACCTCCAGCTGTGAGGTTCATACCTGCAAGACCTTCATGCAGATCGTTTCGAATACTTTCGCTTTCATTTGTTGCTGCCTGCTGCTCTTACTGGAATGCTGCATTCAGGGTGTGTCGGAAACAGCATTGTGTTCGTATGACTAACAAGGAAATTGAATGTTTTTGCACAAAGAATTGTTGCAAAATAAACCAAAAGCTTTCCAGAAAGATAAATCTATGTTGTAGCTCAACAACTGAAAGCAGCAGCTGAGGGAATGTCACATTCGTGGGACATATATGTAAAACACACATCCATACCCAGAACTTAAATCCTTTACCTTTTGCACATTTCAAATCCCTTGAGTCACACCACATGGATGATGAATTTTGATATTTTGTTGAAGTGTGTTTGGATGCCCCCACATGGAGAGATTTCGTCTTAATGTGATTTAAAATCAAACTGATCAGTTTTAGGAACTGATTTGTGTGTTGGATTAGAGCACTACAGACCCATGGTGGTGTCTGTTGAACCGTCAGAGAACCTGCTGCTCTGTTTGTTAGAAAACATTACTGAAACTTTTTGCCTGTATTAGTTGACATGGATTAAAGACTTTAAGCCTCTTAATAACTACACATTAATGAGAGATGAGATATTAAAGAGACAACATGATTTTATTATGCAACAACAACTGATTTTTCAAACATCTTTAAAAGGCAACATGGGAATACTCGAGGATTAATGCAAGAAAACAGTATAAAGTTTTATCATTTGTAAACAGTGTCAGGAGTCTTAATGAAGCAGCAGCAGAAGATGTGCTGGTGCCAGTGCTGGGAGGTGGAGATGGTGGAGTCCTCCATGAACCCTCAACACCATTTGGATGACGGACATGTGCTGGATTCCAAACTCAGAGAGCTGCATGGTGTCTCCATCCAGATGCTTGTCTGTGAAGATCAGCCGCACATCCTCTTTTCCTACACACACACACACACACACACACACACACACACACACACACACACACACAAACACAGGAAAACATAATCGGATCAGACTCATTCAAACCCAGTTATTACTTAAAATATATCCTTACTTTTAAGGTCAAGGTCCAATACTGTGGGTATGAAAAGCAGTAATGGCGGAAACTGTTGAACAGGACTCATGGGGAAAAAACTGTTCAGTATTAAAGGAGCTATCCTGAATAATGTGTACTTTCACTTTTGATACTTTAAGTATGATTTGCTTGAAACACGTTGGTATAATATAAATGCCGTATTTATAAGAGTGTTATTACTTCATTTTCATTAAGTAAATAATCTAAGTAGTTCTCTCTCCACTGCAATTAACCATAATTATCCAGGCCTGCAAGGATTGCGTTTAAAATAGAGTACTTCAAGGTCAACCTCGTTTCATGGAGAAAAAAAAAAATCCTGGGATATTCCACTGATAGACAAACATCATAAACAACAAACTTCAAAGTCTATATTCAGCTCCTTCGTCGGCTTCAGGTTTAAAGATAAACGGTCTCTGACTGGCTGAAGCGCTTGTGTGTCGGTTCTGGCTGTTTACTTCAGGCGGTGTGTTTACCTGCGCTTTCGGGCAGCCTCGTGGCTATCTTCTCCTTCAGCTGCAGCACCGTCATGCTCTGCATCTGCTCCTCGGTGTTGCACAGGTCGATGATCATCTTCTCACCCCTCAGCCCGTGCACCATCACTTGGTAGATTTTGCCCATTTTGTGCCGTTTTTCTGCGTGCGAGGTCCCGCGCTCCGTTCGCCTATGCCTCTGAATGCCTTTAATGCCAGTTTAGGGTGTTGTTTAGCCTAGTCAGCGGGAAATTACGTAGGACGGGCTGATGATACTTTCACTTTCACCTTTTAATTGTTTCTGTTATTTTTGTTTGTTTCCTCCTTATGTACAAGCAGCACCAAAGACAGCTTAAAATGTGAAATGAAAGTTAACAAAGTTTTTGTGTGTGTGTGTAACTGGTTTGAGGTGCTGTTGTGTGCTTCCCAGATGTAGGTGTTACTCGCTCTTTGAACCCATCATTTCCTTTATCACTTTATTACTTCTCTTGCATGAGAGGAGGTAATAACAGCATCGAGTTATTTACTCACTTATTGTGAGTTTGTCTTTTGGGAGTTTTGTAGTTTCCATCATAATGCCTATGCAGTATTGGGTGCGTATACACTGGTGGCCTAAAACAACCAGTGCGTGAAGGCATCATCGTCACAATGTGCTGATATGAAACCGGATATTGCAGCAATGTTTGGCATGTGACCGCAGTAGTGTTTGTTTACCAGCCCCACACCCTGGTTGCCTTGGTGAAAGCTGCTAAACAATTTATTGATACGATCGTGTCAAAATAGAAGCTATTCATAAAACCTAGTAGGCTATTTATTAATAGGGAGTAATTTCGAAAACTAAATTCAAAACAATGCATCACAATAATACAATAAGGGACTTTCCTCTGCAGGTCTATTTGCATTCTCATGATTTCTTGTAACTGCTCGGGCGAAACTGAAAGTTTGAAGGAAAAACAAAAAAAAACTACACTGGGAGCGATCATTGAAGGTGACAAGACACAGCATCCAGCTTCCGTCTTCTTCACTGCACATTTATTGACTGCAGACAGAGAAGAAGTTTGTCGACTCGGGTCCAAGGAGCTGAGCTGAATCAAAATGACGACACAGGGTCAGGAGGAGAAAAGATACGACCCCAAAGACACGACTCTGAAATTTGTCAACAGACCGGATGACCTGGATCCACTGCGTAAGAATTGAATTATAAACGCTTTATATTGTCGCTCTGTGCAGGATCTCCTACATTCCCGTTTATTCCTCATAAAGAAATGTCAGTTAATGCGTTAAATGTCACTGTTGATATGTAATGAAAGCTTTGAATATATAGGATGCCTTATCTCAGTTGTTGAAGGCGGGTAGGGTCGAGCTACAGGTATAGGCTACAGGTGAATGTGATGCTGAGTTCAATGTCTGCTCTTGTTGTTGTTCTTCCTCAGCCCCAGAGGAAGGAGACATGTGTCTTCGTGCAGAGATGTCGTGCGGTCATGCCGTCACCCCAGAATCTCTGACTGGGTGGTGTCGCAGCCTGCTGGATCAGGTACTTTCCACCATATCACTGACACAGCATAAAGGTGTGTTTGATTTACCCCAAGTCAGAGGAGTTAAGCCCCCCCCCCCCCCCCGAAGTGGCCAGTAAACAAATGGCGATGTAGGGGATGCTCAACTTCCTGTTGTAATGGCAGCCCCATCTGGGTTCATCATGCCTTTGACTGGAAATATAATATAATCTGTGCTTTTAATTTCAGGGCCGCTACAAGTTCAAGTGCCCGGCTTTAAAGGACGGCACCTTGCAGAAGTGTGACAAGGAGTGGTCTTACCAAGAGGTGCGCAGGCTGGCCGTGCTGACCGCTGAAGAGATGCAGTACTTTGAGGAGAACATCGCCCGTCTGGCTGCCATAGAGTACTGTGAATTCAAAACAGTGAGTCGTCTCCACCTTTAAAAAGATACAGACTGATTTATTCATGAGTGCAGCAGACATGATTTGTTTTTGTACCATCCAGTGATTATGCAGGTAAGGCAAATTACTTATTCGCTTTCTTGCTTAGTTTAAAGAGCGATACCTCTCTTTTGTGTCTGTACAGTGAATAGGAGCCAGCAGCCGTTAGCTTAGCTTAGCACAAAGACTGGAAACAGAGGGAAACAGCTAGCCTGGCTCTGTCAAAATGTATCAAAAATCTTCCTACCTGCAGCATTAAAGTGCAGAAGGGGCAGTTCTCCAGTTTATGAGGGGTTACATGCCGGACTGCCTCTCAGCGAGTTATATATTTACAGTTCTCGAGCAAAGGTCTGCACCATCCACTGAGATGTGAATAAACTGATTATTGAATATGACTTGATATGGCCTCCCAGCTTGGTAGACCCCAGGGCACCCTATGAGAAATAGAATATAGAAGAGAGAGAGAAGGAAGGAGGGTGTTTGATAGACGTATGATAGATATGATGAAATTACTTCCACGTAAGAGAGAGGTGTTAATCTTCTCATCTAACTGCTGGAAGAAAGCAAATAAGTGTCTTTCCAAAAATGTTGAGTTATTCTTTTCCAACAGTGTCCTGGGTGTAAAACCTACATTGAGAGAGAGGACCTGGCAAACCTGAACGTGCAGTGCACAATCTGCGCAGAAGATGAGACGGAGTCGTGCCAGTTCTGCTGGCAGTGTCTGAAGCCGTGGAAAGGTAAAGCCCCACGCTCCGACCGCTGCGACAACAGCGGCTGCGTCAACCACGACCTCGAGCTCCTCAAGAACTGTAAGGACACCGCTCTCCCTCAGGTGCAAGGGGTCGACAAGTGCCCCTCCATCCGGGCCTGTCCCACCTGTGGTCAGCGGGTGGAGCACGACAAAACGGGCTGCAAGAACATCATCTGCCCTCGCTGTCAGATCGAGTTCTGCTTTGTGTGTCTGAAGCTCACGCCCGAGTGCCTGGAGACAAGCTCCTACTTCATCCCCTGCAGTGATGGCGTGGCTCCCAGACAAACCTCCATACCTGTGTGGCGCAGAAACTAACGGCCAACAACTAACTCACGGCGTTCTTCACGCTATGTTTCTCCTGTTCGGTTTCACCGTGAGATTCTTATTGCAACTGAGGCCAGACGTGTTGTTTAATGGGCCTATTTGTTCATGTGCATTGTCAGAATTAAAAGTATCTGATGTATTCTCTTATACTGTTTTATAATACTCATAGTTAATCATTAATAACTGAAACGCTTAATAAAGGTTCCTTTCACATGAACACAGGAAGTCTATCTGATGTCTGACCCAAACAGGTTCAAGCATGTGAATAAATTTCCTGAATGTTGAACAGGATAAATGACAGAGAAATAGTAACATGTATCCACATATCATATAAAATTTGATATTGAAACAGATATTTTACATATACAATGGACGTATAGTGAAGCTGGAAACTGGTCAATTTCTCTACTGTAGGTATAGAAGTGTAAAGATCTGACGCTGTTTGTCACAGAGCAAAACCTGACATGAAGTCAATTTTAATCAAAGGCCCAGAAAGAGCTGTAATTCCCTCTATGGGTCAATCCCAAAATAACACTGAACAATGATGACAGATTGTCAAAAGATTTTTAATATGAACAAACTCAGAAAATGTGACAAAAATTAGATATTGAGCTGCTGAGGTGAAGTTCATGTGACGAATGAAGAATGAAGAAGCTTAAATACAGGGTGTGAATCCTACAGAGACGATGAGTCTCTGTGAAGCCGTCTATCCTCCATGAACTCTCAGCAGCATGAGGATGAGATCATTGTGCTGGATGCCATGTTGAACCAGCGTGGTGGAGTCATCGGACAGCGTCTGATCTTTGAAAACCAGCCGCACTTCACCCTTTCCTGCGAGACACAGAGAGAAACAAAATGAGTGTGGTCTTCCATGAGAGATGAACATTCATATCACTTGGAGTGTAAGTTCAAATTTTAATTGTGAGCTGACTAGGAACAATTATCAAATTATAGCCGAGTGCAATATTCAAATGGTGCTGCAATTTTTTTTTTGTATAAAGATAAAATGTGTCGCAACACACCATAAATCAAGCATTGCGGTGCCGCAGAGACGCAGGTCAGATTTAAAGGAACAGGCTTGTTTGGTACAAGCTCCAACAAAAACACATCATCTTCACTTTTATATTTTTTCACTGAAAATCAAATGCAAAAAAATGACCATTCCAATGAAATCGTGACTCATATCGCAACCGTAATATCTGCTAAAATATGATTTTTGTTCTTCCATATGGTTCAGCCCCAAAGCTGATGATGCAACCATGACCAGGAGATAAGTTAGGGTTACAACTGAGCTACATTAAAGCCTGTTATTATTATTATTATTATTATTATTATTATTGTTGTTAAGTTGTAAATTGCATCGTTTAATTTGCTAGTTCAGGTGTTAGTTGGCTACATGTTCACCCACGGTGCTGTAATTTTACTTTTTTATCTTTTGTAAGAGTATTTATTACCTTTGACGCTGGGAATCGCCTTCAGTACTTTCCTCTTCAGCTGTTTCGTGGTCACTTTATTCATCTGCTTCTTTGACTTGACCAGGGGGACACTCATCATCCCACCTGTAAGCCCGTTGTGCACCCTCACTGATATGCCCTTACACATGTTTTCCTGTGTGATCTTCTCGGGTTCTGTCTGTTGACGGTAATGACAGTGGGAACCAGTGTTTCTTCTTATGAACAAGATCAGACGTCAGAGAAGACCTACCTCTTTTCTCAACATAAATCTCTCGTGCTATCACTGTTGTGCTCAATGAAATTACACGGAAACTCCCTGAAATTCAAAAATACAATGTTTGTTTTACTTTCACATCGAGTTTGTCCCTNCGTCAGAGAAGACTTGCCTCTTTTCTCAACATAAATCTCTCGTGCTATCACTGTTGTGCTCAAAGAAATTATACGGAAACTCCCTGAAATTCAAAAAAAACAATGTTTGTTTTACTTTCACATCGAGTTTGTCTCACATCGTCTGAATTCTTGTAATTGCAAAGAGAAACTGAAAGTATCTAAACAAAATGGCAGCCGGTGTTGCCATCAGGTGTCTGTTGACATTAAAAACATTTAACCTCTGCAGAAACACTTCAGCCTTTGTTGTCCTTCCTTGTTCTTCAGTGTTCACATCAAATGTCAGAGGGTCCAACAGTTTAGCTGGTGTGTCGTCCGTCATCTTTTCACTGAGACATGATGTGACCCTGTTATGTGACCGTGCAGCCTGATGAACGACGTGTTGGCAGTTTAAGAGCAGATTGTCAGTGAAAGGTTTCATTGTGAGGGACAATCATCTGAGCAATCTGAGCTTGAATTAGGTTTTTATTCCTGTAAAGTTTATGTTTTATTTCACAACGTGATATAAATCCTTAACAATTATAAGCTGTAATTTGTCATGATGTAGCTGTTGGCATCATTGAACCACATGTTCACCGTGGAGAAAACTGCCAGACTTAGTTTACTATTCTTGTTCTTTATAAAATAACAATAGTAATAATAATTATAATATATCACATATCATCATTCATCATCATCATCATTGTTTAAAACCAAGTATTGTTTTAAGTGATTTTCAAGGTCTGCTACATTTGTAATAACAGAACTGTGTTGTTGCTTAGAATGCTCACGTGACTTCTTTGTAACCTCAAACTGAAAGTTAACACCACACACACACAACACACACACACACACACACAACACACACACACACACACACACACACACACACACACAAACACACACCCACATGAGCAAGAAAACATAACGGGGAGCTTCGGTGTTTGTAGTTTTATGGGGAGAAAAAACTAGAAGCCAGCTCGGGTTAAGATGGGCTCTAATGAGTCTAATGATCGACACACGACGTGTCAGGCTGAGAAGTGTTATAACCCGCGAGACTCGAACACTTCGCTTCGTGAACAACAGAGGACGAGTTCGACTGTTAAGTAACCGAGTATGTCCCCAAAGTGTCCAAAGAAGTGTGTCTGTACGGTGTATAAGCGTCGCGTTTTGTGTGTGTGTGTGTGTGTGTGTGTGTGTGACGGTTTCTCCGTGTTTTTCCTCAGTTCTATATGAAGGTTTCAAGTCTCGCAGAGCTCTGATGTCCTGTGGTCACGCTGTGACTCCGACGTCTCTGACCAACTGGTGCCGCAGGTTATTGGACCAGGTAGGCTGTTCCTACACATTTTAAAATGATACATCTATTCTCGAAATACGTTTAGACATGTTACACCATACGCAAATGTAATATATGTACATATATCAGATTACCTTTTATGAAATATGTTTTTAAAAAACAAAACAAACATGTACAATATCTGAAAAAATAATATATATGAAACGCATTACAAATTGGCAGTTTCATATATTGACATATAGGTTGTATGTCTAGCCCATAAAAATATATTTATTCATGTATGTATGCATATAGATATGGCCCATACGTAGCTATATCCATCCCATAGCCCGTCAATATATGTTATTATAAATCTACATATAAAAGATAGACATGTATGTTTAAGAAAAACATATAAGCAGAGATCATTTTTTATGTATGTTGTTTTAATAAACTTGCATTCATAATAATATAAATATATATATAGTGCCATATAAAGAAATCCTATTTTTAATTTACTGTATATACATATAAAAATTTCTCTATCAACTTATATCTTCATACATTCAGAGAATGTATATGTGATAATAATATATTGCCTTTATGGCTCGTTTCTAACTTGTAATCGTTTTGTCAATTTACTTTTCCATATTTTAATAAAGGGTGAAAGCAGATTCACATGTGCCCAACGTGGTTGTGTCTATGAGTGGCCTTTCTCAGAGGTTCGTAAAATGGCTCTTCTGACACCTGAAGAAATTGAGTATTTTAAAAAAGCCTTGGCTGCCAATGCTCAAAAGGATAACTTGGATACCAAATTAGTAAGTGTCACATTGAAACTATATGATGTTCACTAACTGAAAACCAAATCTGTTGCTCAAAAATGAGTTCTCAATGCTGATAAAAAAAATTGTGAAATAATAATGAAAGAAACATCTCTCTGTTTTCGTCTTTCTCCTCCTTCCACATCACAGTGTCCTGGATGCAGCACTTCTGTGAGAAAGGAAACCTCTAATCTGAGCGTCCGCTGCGCAGTGTGCACAGCAAACAGAGGACGGGTCTATGAGTTCTGCTGGCAGTGTTTGAGGGAGTGGAAGGGTCCGGCTCCACGCTCAGACCGCTGTGAAAACGACGGCTGCTGCAACGAATCACTGAAAGCGCTGAAAAACTGTCCAGATATCACCTTTGAGTCTGTGACAGGGGTCACTGGCTGTCCCTCCATCCGAGCCTGTCCCACCTGTGGCTCACTGGTGGAGCATAGCAGGAAGCATTGTAGAAACATCGTCTGTCCCCGATGTGGGTCGCAGTTTTGTTTTGTGTGCCTGAAGCCAACAGGAGGGTGTTATTCAGCACAGTGCCCTGTTGCCCCCAGACAGACCTCTATACCCGTGTGGAAGAAGTAATGATATAAACAACACTATGTAAGTGCTTCGGTGTCTTTTTATGTGTCTTTCCTTAATTGCACCATTGCTGTAATTTACATTCTTCTTCATAGAAACATCTGGTAAATAGGATGTTCTTGTTTTGTCAGTGAGAAATTGAGCCAGATGTGATCGTCATGCCTGCAGCCTGCCTGAACTATAAGGTTGAGAATTGTCACATATATTGTGAGTCTGAAGCGTTTATCGATTCATAATTGTTTCATTTCATAAATGCTTTCATATTCCACCACCACATGTTGTTGTTCGTTTCATTGTGTATTGCCTCAGCCTCCTTTTTGTCTTGTGTTGTCACTACATCACTGCTCCTTTGTCACACATGTTAATAAACAAACATACTATTTATTTGAGTGAATTATTTCTGTTTCACATTAAAATGATAACTGAGCGTTGGATTAAAACAACGCTGTGTAGACAGAACTACAAAAACAAAACTTCAAATGCTGTTGGCTATCAGCTCCATTGTTGGCTGATAATTAAAAGATATGTCCGTGCTATATTTTTAGCTTGTATTAACGCCACATACACCACAACTTGGTAGATTTTTTCCCACTTCATTTCCTCTGACTATGTTTCCTTGCAGGTTTGTGGGTTGAACGTGTTGTTCAGGTCACTAAACCAGAACAACAGCGCTGAACACAGCAAAGCCTCGCACATGTTTTGGACACTTTAGAGTTTGTCCTGTACTTTGCATCATAAAGCCTGGGCAGCGTTTCAGTATATTCCCCTAAAACAGCAAATGTGTGAGTGTTGTTGTCCCTGAAATGACAACAGGAAAGTACCGAATATACCAGCACCAGTGTTTGGCATGAGAACAGGGCAGTGAACATGCTTCACTTTCTGTTTGTGTTACTGAAAGCTGCTGTAAAACTATTTATGAATCCCACTGAAAAAGAAACCAAACGCATTTATTGACATTATTAAAGTATTTTAAATAAAGAATATGAAGAATATGGATATTTAGAATAATGTAATAACATAAAAAGTACAACTATGAGCCATAACATTACTTCACAAACAAGGCAACAGACCCAGGTTGTACATGTAAAAGTGAATAAAATGAAACGTGAATATCTAGAGGGGGAATCCAGACTTTCTGTCCTGCATTCACGTGACTTCTTGTAACTGTCAGGAAACACACACAAAATAAAATCCTGCAGCAATCAGTAAAGGTGAAAGATCAGGCGGTGTTGGAAATGCCTCAGGGACCTTCCTCTAACAACTGGATCAGCAGTATCATGTTTTGTGATTGGCTCTTTGTGAAAGAAAGTCCATCTGATGTCTGACCCAAACAGGTTCAAGCATGTGAATAAATTTCCTGAATGTTGAACAGGATAAATGACAGAGAAATAGTAACATGTATCCACATATCATATAAAATTTAATATCAAACAGATATTTTACATATACAATGGATGGATAGTGAAGCTGGAAACTGGTCAGTTTTTCTACTGTAGGTATAGAAGTGTAAAGATCTGACGCTGTTTGTCACAGAGCAAAACCTGACATGAAGTCAATTTTAATCAAAGGCTGGGTGCACCCTCACTGATATGCCCTTACACATGTTTTAGTGTGTGATGATCTTCTCAGGTTCTGTCTGTTGACGGTAATGACAGTGGAGGTCGTTGTTTCGTCTTATGAAAAAGATCAGACGTCAGAGAAGACCTGCCTCTTTTATTCTAATCATAAATCTCTCGTGCTATCAGTGTTGTTGTGCTCAATGAAATTACACGGAAACTCCCTGAAATTCAAGAACCAATGTTTGGTTTACTTTCAGATTGGGTTTGTCCTATTAACAGCTCATATGAAACAGTTTACCGACACAACAAAATTGAAAAAAAATGTATTGATGTTATTACAGTATTTAAAATACAGAAGAACATCTTTTTGAAATTGTTGGGGTTTTAGCTGCAAATTCAAAACAATGCAATACCACAAATAAGAAAATATAGCAATTTCTGCTTAACAGTTAATGAGATTACTTTTATTTTTTTATTTTACTAAATAAAATGAATTTTATGAATATATAGATGGGAAATTCTGACCATCTGGCATCATCTGATTTCTTGTAACTGCAAAGGAGAAACTGAAAGCAACTAAAAATTGGCAGCCAGTGTTGCCATCTGCATTGAAATTAGTTTGATGTATTCAACAGTCGTTTTTAGAAAACAGGAGAGAGACTCACCAATGAGTTTACTCACTGTCTTGACAGTGTTTCTCCAACTGATTCCAGTTTTGAACATTTATATTCAGTGAGAAAGTTAGGACTGATTCCATGAAGGATCTGTGAAATAACACCATCAGGTGTCTGTCGACATACAGTAACATGTATCCACATATCATATAAAATCTGATATCAAACAGATATTTTACATATACTATGGATGTGTATGTTGCATTTCTACAACCTTGTTGAAATGTTAACTAGAAAAGACCAAATGAAGTTTTATTTTCTGTAACAACTGCCCATTTAAATATCACAATATAGTGTCACAACATATGACATCCATTTCTGGGGAAAAATCTTTCTGATCAGAACTGACCCAAAATATTGTGCCTGGATTTTGAAAAGAGCAAACTACAAAAAGATATCTTTGTTGTCACTGGTTTGAGTTTAATAGATTTTCACAATATTTGGTTAACATAATGGATGATTGGCAGGAATTCCATGGTATTAGTGACCTCTGGTGCTTTTTGGCAATCTGTCTACCCTCCATGAACCCTCAACACCAAGTGGATGACAGACTTGTTGCAGATGCCATATTTAGACAGCAAGGTGTTGCCGTCATCCAGTGTCCTGCCATTGAAGGTTGGCCGCACATCACCCTGTCCTACACACACACATACAGGAGAGAAAAGTGAGAGACACAGGGAGAATCAAGTTATGTGCGGGTCTTACACAAGAGATGAACATTTATATCACTTAAAGTGGAGGGTAAAATTTAATTAAACTGACTGTGCATCTATGCAATAATTTCTCTTATTACTTGTTATTATTGTTGTTGCATATTGAAAGTTAAATACAGGTTTGAGTGCTGCTTAACAGGACAGTATAGCAAGTGAATAAGTGAGCACATAGAGAGTTATGAAATCATTGAAAGTTCATATGCCCCTTTATGAGCTGATCATATGCACATTCTGTACTGGCTGCTTTACATTACATTAGAGGCTATTAGCTACAGTATGTATTTTAAAACACAAAAATATTTCATATAGACATTTTTAAGACATTTAGTAAAGTACAACTTCTATGTGTGTCAGATGTGTGTCTTTCTTTTTTCTGTGTATTACCTGGAAACTTTTTCACTGCTGCCTCCTGTAGCTGCTGCACAGTCAAGCTCCCCACCTTAGTGTTGAACATCTCGACCATTTTCTTGTCACCTCCAGGCCCATACATCACGAGTGATTGGACGTCACACATTTCGCTTACTTTGTTTGCGTGCTATGATCCTGTCGCATCTGTTTTCTTGTAGGAAATGAGGCTTAGAGCGTTACTCCTTGTTTTTAAAAAGAGCTCACTTTCGTTTTGGCAGTATAGCCAATAGCCATCCTTCTATTCTTATCAGTGTCGTGGTGGGAAATCACCTGGCATCCGAGCACCGGATCTTGCGTGTGACCACAGGCTGTTTAACTAAGTTATGTCACAACAAAGACACTTTAGAGTTTGTCCATACTTTGCATCATACTGCGTGGGAAGCATTTCACTATATCCACCAAAAACAACCAATGTGTGAATGCGTTTCCTTATTCAGCATCACATCCTGTTTGTTTTGTTAAAAGCTGCTGTGAAACAATTTATCAATCCAACTGAAAAAGAAACCAAAGACTGAGTGACATAATCACAGGATTTTACATATGATTTCATGCATATTCAAAACAATGCAGTAACAAAAATAATACAATGCTCCACCAAAAAGAAAATGAACCCATTTTTAACAGCACATTACTGGTTAGTAAAATGAAATATGAAATGAAATATGGAATGGGGAAAACCAGACATGCTTTCAGTCATGTCATTTATTGTAACTGCAAAAGAGAAAGTGAAAATACTACCCAGTGTGCCACTTGATGTTTTAAAAAGATAAAATTGTATTATGTTTGAGTAATTTGTCACAATAGGGTGAATCTCTGAACTGAACTATGAATTGTTTGGACACCAAATTATTTTTGAACTCCTGCATGAATGCACACCCTGTTTCTGTAACGTAACAGTTCGATACAGATCTATATCGCTCTACAAAGGGGAAATTCCTTTTTGCAGCAAGGCAGCATAAAACATGCCACAATAAACCCACAATCCAAAAAATAAGACAATAAAAGTGCTGGAATTATACTTTACAAGCCATTCAAACAGTAAGGATGTTTGTTAAAAACAAGGAAAACAGCTATAAGAGAATAAAGATAAGAAAAACAAAGTGCAAGTGGCAGAGTATACTGCACTAGAAGACAATTTATTGCATATGAGATCAATAAAAAGTTGAACCTGCTGCACCTCATTTTTGGAAAGTTGTTGTTTGCATGTGTCTGTGATATGGAGATATAATGTTGAGAAAAATGTCCATATTCATTAATGTTGCTTTGAACCAGATCATCCTGTGAAACACTTTATCGATCCCAGGACCATCACTCCACAAATAAGACAACAAAACAGCGTTATTCACTCACGTGACTTTAAACTGAAAATAACACACACACACACACACACACACACACACAAGCAGGAAACTCAACAGGGAGCTTCGGTGTTTGTAGTTCGTGGAGAAACTAGAAGCAGCTCGGGTTAAGATGGGCTCTAATGAGTCTAATGATGGACACACGACGTGTCAGGCTGAGAAGTGTTATAACCCGCGAGACTCGACACTTCGCTTCGTGAACACAGAGGACGAGTTCGACTGTAAGTAACCGAGTATGTCCCCAAAGTGTCCAAAGAAGTGTGTACGGTGTATAAGCGTCGCGTTTTGTTTGTGTGTGTGTGTGTGTGTGTGTGTGTGTGTGTGTGTGTGTGTGTGTGTGTGTGTGTGTGTGACGGTTTCTCCGTGTTTTTCCTCAGTTCTATATGAAGGTTTCAAGTCTCGCAGAGCTCTGATGTCCTGTGGTCACGCTGTGACTCCGACGTCTCTGACCAACTGGTGCCGCAGGTTATTGGACCAGGTAGGCTGTTCCTACACATTTTAAAATGATACATCTATTCTCGAAATACGTTTGGACACGTTACACCATACGCAAATGTAATTTATGTACATATATCAGATTTTATTAAATATGTTAAAAAAAAACATGTACATACAATATGCGTAAAAAATAATATATATGAAACGCATTACAAATTGGCAGTTTCATATATTGACATATAGGCTGTATGTCTAGCCCATAAAAATATGTTTGTTCATGTATGTATGCATATAGATATGGCCTATACGTAGCTATATCCATCCAATAGCCCGTCAATATATGTTATTATATATCTACATATAAAAGATAGACATGTATGTTAAAGAAAAACATATAAGCAGAAATAATTTTTTTTATGTATGTTGTTTTAACAAACTTGCATTCATAATAATATAAAAATAAATCGTTAATATATATGGTTGCAACATATAGTGCCATATAAAGAAATCCTATTTTTAATTTACTGTATATACATATACAAATTTCTCTATCAACTTATATCTTCATACATTCAGAGAATGTATATGTGAGAATAATATATTGCCTTTATGGCTCGTTTCTAACTTGTAATTGTTTTGTCAATTTACTTTTCCATATTTTAATAAAGGGTGAAAGCAGATTCACATGTGCCCAACGTGGTTGTGTCTATGAGTGGCCTTTCTCAGAGGTTCGTAAAATGGCTCTTCTGACACCTGAAGAAATTGAGTATTTTAAAAAAGCCTTGGCTGCCAATGCTCAAAAGGATAACTTGGATACCAAATTAGTAAGTGTCCCATTGAAATTATATGATGTTCACTAACTGAAAACCAAATCTGTTGCTCAAAAATCAGTTTTGAATGCTGATAAAAAATTGTGAAATAATAATGAAAGAAACATCTCTCTGTTTTCGTCTTTCACCTCCTTCCACATCACAGTGTCCTGGATGCAGATCTTCTTTGGTGAGAAAGGAAACCTCTAATCTGAGCGTCCACTGCACAGTGTGCACAGCAAACAGAGGACGGGTCTATGAGTTCTGCTGGCAGTGTTTGAGGGAGTGGAAGGGTCCGGCTCCACGCTCAGACCGCTGTGAAAACGACGGCTGCTGCAACGAATCACTGAAAGCGCTGAAAAACTGTCCAGATATCACCTTTGAGTCTGTGACAGGGGTCACTGGCTGTCCCTCCATCCGAGCCTGTCCCACCTGTGGCTCACTGGTGCAGCATAGCAGGAAGCATTGTAAAAGCATCGTCTGTCCCCGATGTCAGGTGAAGTTTTGTTTTGTGTGCCTGAAGCTGGCTGAAGAGTGTTTCAAGACAAGTAAAATTTCAGGACAGTGCTCCAGGGGTGTTGCCCCCAGACAGAGCTCTATACCCATGTGGAAGAAGTAATGATATAAACAACGCTATGTAAGTGCTTCTGTTTCTTTTGATGTGTCTTTTCTTAATTGCACCATTGCTGTAATTTACATTCTTCTCTGGTTTTGAAAATCTGAATAGAATTGTCACATATATTGTGAGTTTGAAGCATTTATCGATTCATAATTGTTTCATTTCATAAATGCTTTCATATTCCACCACCACATGTTGTTGTTCGTTTCATTGTGTATTGCCTCAGCCTCCTTTTTGTCTTGTGTTATCACTACATCACTGCTCCTTTGTATTAACACCACATACACCACAACTTGGTAGATTTTTCCCACTTCATTTCCTCTGACTATGTTTCCTTGCAGGTTTGTGGGTTGAACGTGTTGTTCAGGTCACTAAACCAGAACAACAGCGCTGAACACAGCAAAGCCTCGCACATGTTTTGGACACTTTAGAGTTTGTCCTGTACTTTGCATCATAAAGCCTGGGCAGCGTTTCAGTATATTCCCCTAAAACAGCAAATGTGTGAGTGTTGTTGTCCCTGAAATGACAACAGGAAAGTACCGAATATACCAGCACCAGTGTTTGGCATGAGAACAGGGCAGTGAACATGCTTCACTTTCTGTTTGTGTTACTGAAAGCTGCTGTAAAACTATTTATGAATCCCACTGAAAAAGAAACCAAACGCATTTATTGACATTATTAAAGTATTTTAAATAAAGAATATGAAGAATATGGATATTTAGAATAATGCAATAACAAAAAAAGTACAACTATGAGCCATAACATTACTTCACAAACAAGGCAACAGACCCAGGTTGTACAAAGTGAATAAAATGAAACGTGAATATCTAGAGGGGGAATCCAGACTTTCTGTCGTGCATTCACGTGACTTCTTGTAACTGCCAGGAAACACACACAAAATAGAATCCTGCAGCAAATAGTAAAGGTGACAGAGCAGGCGGTGTTGGAAATGCCCCAGGGACCTTCCTCTAACAACTGAATCAGCAGTATCATGTTTTGTGATTGGCTCTTTGTATTGGTCTCTTGACCAATTAGAACGCAGCGTCTCAGAGGGATGTTCAGTTCATGTTCAGTGTTTAGCAGAGTTGGTGCAATGTCAGTTTGTTCAGATGTAAATAGTTCAAACACTAGCCATGCCCCTTGCTGAAGACCATGAGGTCAGGTCACACAAGTTCATCGTGAATACATTTCCTGATTGTTGGACAGGGTAAATGACAGCAAAACACTAACATGTATTCAAATATCATATAAAATTCAATATCAAAACACAGTGTAGAAATTAAGTGCAAGTGTAAAAATTTGAGGTCCTGTTAGACCTTTCACACAGAACAATCACAGTCAATCAAAGGCCCAGAAAGAGCTGTAGCACCATCTATAGGTCAAATCTGATTATCCTGATCCTAATCCTGATTAATGATGACACTGTTTAGGTCTGTCTTTGATTTGAATTATAAAAGGATGGAAAGTATTAAGTATTAACTGGTAGAAAACCTGTCAGGCTACAGATTATCTCATGCGTTCAGTATGAATACTTGAGTGTCAAACAGACAAGGTTGGGACATTTTAGAGGTCAAGCTGAGGTGGAATGTGTAATGTGTCTCGGTAAGGAGCAGAACGGTTCAAAAATCAGAGAGCTTTTCCATACTTCTGTTTTTGCCGTCCTTGTCCCCCATACCACCATCTCCCCTGCCAGGATCCTCTCCTCCTCCGAATAGACTGTGAATCACTGTGATGGTGGACAAGTCCTGGACTCCATACTCACACAGCCGGCGGGAGTCTATGCGCAGATCCCTGCCAGCGAAGACCAACCTATAGGCATCTATATTGCAAAATAAATCAAAACAATATCATTTAAATCTCGCACTCGTAGTCTTACTCAATGACAATAGGTGGCTATTTCAATCATGAACAACGCGTGTAGCTCGGACGCAGCCATAAAAGAAAGTAGATTTACCGTCGTTGCTGTAAAAACCAGTCTTTATTATCTTCTCCTTCAGCTGCTGCACCGTCAGGCTCTCAAACTGCTCCTCGGTGTCGCACAGGTGGATCGCCGCTACCACCCTGCCATTATATTTCACAAACACCTGGAAAACCATTTCTTCCCACAATCTGTGTGTGTGTGTGCAGATTTGCTGACTGTGATGATGGTGTCCGACGATTATGCCGGAAGAAGCTGTAAAAATCTACTTTCTCATTCGTCTTTAAACTTATTTACTTACTTATAAACGTACTTAAATATTTACAATCCTGGCGTTTTACTTGAGAGAAAACGTCTTACCAAGATACACACTATAATTCAATCTCAACTCCAAATACAACTGTTATTTCTTTACTATCAATTTTATTGTGTGTCCTTTTGTCAATTGTCTTTTGATCATAATCTCTATGACAGCAAAAATAATATTCATCCACATACTGAATCATATAAAACTCAATATCAAACAGATATTTTACACACAGTAGACACTGGTAGTGAAGCTGGAAACTGTATAAGTGTAAAAAAAATTTGATGACCTGTGAAACCTTTGACACGGAACAAAACCTGAGTTAGAGTCAATGAAAGGCCCAGAAGGAGCTGTAGCACCATCTACAGGTCAAAACCAATATAACAGAACAACAATGACGCTCATGACTGTCTCCAGACATTAAGAAAAATGACTGAGGCTTGAAAGAAAAGACACTTTGATCTAAATACATGATGACACGTTTTAAACATTAATTTAGGTGTTTCAGAGACTGGTGATATTCCATGAGACTACAGGAAAAAGCTTTAGTTTAAGACTAAGGTCTGGAAAGTCTGGTATGTGCATGCAAAGCAAAGAGTATTAACTAGTAGAAGAACTGGCACAGATTGTCATGTGTTCAGTATGAATACAATAGGTCTGTCAAACAAACAATGTTGGGACACATTTTAGAGTTTTACTCCAAACGGTTGCACAACATCAACCGTATCGTTTGAACAACAGAAACTGAGAGAATCAACAACTTATTTTTAACTATTAATTAGTACGAATATACAGATAAGTGCTCATCTGATCTGTCCCCGGTTTGCAGCCATGTCAGTTTGTCACACACCAGTTAATACAACATTAAAAGTAAATGAAAAAAAAAAAGAAAATGCAATTATTAAACTTATTCCCTCACTCTTCTGCATTCAACTGGTTCCTCCTGTCTTCTTTGGGCAACAATGCAGTGTTGCAGAACCATTTGGCTGCAAAATAACCATCCAAATGTGTGCCGGTCAAAATAGTTGATTATTACACAGTCGGTGCAAATCATCAGGCAGCGGAGTGTGCACATACCAGGGTGGGTATGAAAATATGGGAATGTATTCCACACAGGGGGTTACGAGGAAGGTTTTTTGTCACACTAAAAATGTTGCACCAAAAGTGGCACATGAGGCAAATGTTGGGCAATCTCTGGAGTTCAGCTCCAACCCTCTGGTGTGATGTTACATGTCAAATGTGTCTCTGAAAGTAACAGATACAACATGAGTAGGTTTAAAATAAAGTGAGCTTTTCCATACTTCTGTTTTTGCCTTCCTTGTCCCCCATACCACCATCTCCCCTGCCAGGATCCCCTGGTCCTCCCCCGGGCACCGCCAGAACCATATGGATGGTGGACCTGTGTTGGACTCCATATGCACTCAGCAGGCTTGAGTCATCGTCCAACCGCTTGTTATTGAAGATCAACCTCAGTTCTTCATGATCTATCCCAAAACTAATCAGTGTTAGTAAATTTCATTTGTCCTCATTGACTTTGCAACCTTACTTAGAAAACACGTTTACTCGCATGAATGCGTGTTTAACAGATGACCATTTAATCGTTAATGTTAGCTCTGTTATTTAGGCCTGTAAGTTTCGAGACTATTTCAATCCTGAGCATCGTGTGTAGGTCGGATGTTTAATGGAAAGTAGTTTTACCGTAGTAACTGGAAAAAACCGCCTCTATTATCTTCTCCTTCAGCTGCAGCACCGTCAGGCTCTTAAACTGCTCCTCGCTGTCGCACAGGTCGACTAACTTCACCCCCCCACCAGCTCCACACACATTGACCTGGATAACCATGTTTGTGGTTTTCTTGCCACAATCTTCTCTTCGTGCAGTATTTCCGACTGTAATGGTGTCCGATGATATTCCCGGAAGAAGCTGTAAAAATGAACTTTCACTTCCATCCTTGAACTTCAAAATATATGCTGTACTACATTTTTACTTCAGAGAAAACGTGCTCTTACCTAAATACACACTATAATTTAATCTCACCTTCAAATAAAACGAATTTCTTTACTATCAATTTTATTGTTTAAATGTTTTTGATTTGCCTTCCATTCAATTGATCATTATCTATATGACAGCAAAAATAATAATGTCATCATCATCCACATACTGAATCATATAAACTCAATATCAAACAGATATTTTACACACAGTAGAGACTGGTAGTGAAGCTGGAAACTGTATAAGTGTAAAAATGTGATGACCTGTGAAACCTTTGACACGGAACAAACACTGAGTTAGAGTCAATGAAAGGCCCAGAAGGAGCTGTAGCACCATCTACAGGTCAAAACCAATATAACAGAACAACAATGACGCTCATGACTGTCTCGAAAGAAAAGACACTTTGATCTAAATATATAATGACGTATTTTAAACATTAATTTAGGTGTTTTTCTGAGACTGGTGATATTCCATGAGACTACAGGAAAAAGCTTTAGTTACTAACCCTCTGGTGTGATATTAACATGTGTCTCAGCAGGGAACAGATATAAACTCAGTAGGTTTAAAAAAAAAAAAAAAAAAAAAGAGAGAGCCTTTCCATACTTTGGTTTTTGCCTTGTTTGTCCCCCGTACCACCATCTCCCCTCACAGGAAGTCCCCCTCCCGCCTTCAGCTTTATACACAGGTGAATGACGGATTGGTGCTGGATGCCATATACACACAGCCAGCTCGAGTCTTTGTGCAGAGTCTTCCCATTGAACTTCAACGGCATACACTTCTCACTTATGCCTATAATCAAAAATAATCAATATAACATTATCTTATTCTTTTGTCCTTCTTGGACCTGCAGTTTTACTAAGTAATGGCAAAACATAATTTAATCTCACCCACAAATATAACTGTAATTTATTTATGACTATAAATTTTATTGTTTAAATGTCTTTGACTTGTCTTCTTGCTCTTAATGTGTCCATATTCCTATTTTAACCGTTATCTTTATGTTTTGTGAAGAACACTGTTTGACAATCTGTAATATGAAGTTTGCTATATAAATAAAACTTTGTTACCATTATTCTATGACTAAAATGTTATTCTGATGTTTATTACACATTCAGCATCAAAAAGATGATCATGTAAGATGTAAATAAAAAGCTGTTGTCTATGATATGCGGATAATAAAGGCTGTGTGCATAACTTATGAGTCCTCATAGTAAATTTCCTGTACACACCACATGCCTCCATTACTTTCAAATCTACTTTGAAATCGGGTTTAAAGTTTTCAAGTTAAAGGTTGAGAACTGAGGTTCTCCAGTGCTTAAAGACGAGCTCCTACTTCATCCTCTGCAGTGATGGCGCAGCTCTCAGACAAGTCTCCATACCTCCACAGAATCAAAAGATCACGTGCACTCCCTCTACTGTATTCATGATGCACGCTCACAGCCTTCCTCTAGATATACCAGTCGAAATCCTGAGCAAAAAGTGGCCAAAGTGTGGGATATGTTCCGTATTCACTGCAGATAATGTTGTTATTGAGGGATTTGTTTTTGGATTTAGCAGACAGGAAACATGGGGGAGAGATGAGCAACACAGTCCCTGGCTGAAACCTAACTGTGAATACTGAATGCATCTTAACCTTTAGGATACCAGGACAGTTCTGACACTACGGTTACAAATCAAAGTGAAATGGTAACAGTTTTCAACCAGTAATATTAAGTAGGACATATATAATCTACACAAAAAAATCCCTGATCACAGACTGACTCACAGACCGCAGATTAAAAAATCAAACCAGTTATCACATGAAAATAAAAGATATCATCCTTCACATTTAATCACCTCCATGGCTGTTGTTTGACTGTCTCCTCTCTCTTTTTAGTGTTTTTTGTCGTCCTCAGACTTACGGGTTTCTTTCCCTTTCTCACAGTTGTCGTGGCCTCCCGTGTGCAGCCTTCACCTGAGGTCACAACATGCTGGTTTCTCTCCGAGCTGCATAGGCTGGGGTCATTCATTCTACAGTTACTGTGCGGATGCTTTGTCAGAGAGCAGCTATTGGAGGAAACATGAAATGACTTTACAACAGAATCACCTACATTTTCACTGACGTCGGCCTTCGCTCTCTGTTTGATACTTTTTCCTTCTATGCTTACCTCCGCTACTACCTCTCTTCCACCTCTCACACCTTTAGTTTCTGCAGGCTTCACTCTAATTTTTCTAGGGCTACTATCAGTCTTTGTAGCAATGCTGTTCTGTCCTGTTCTGTCCCAGGCAAGATCATTAGGCTTTAGTTTTTTCTTTAGGGAATTATGTTTTTGCTGAATCCTGAGGTCACAGTGTGCTGCAATGTGCTCTGAGTTTGTATTAAGATGCTGTTTGTTGGGCTCATGATGTCCACCATCTTTGTCTCCGCGTGGTCTCACACACGCTGCTCTCTTTGGCCGTTTTTCTACTTCCCCAGAAGAATCCGTCCGTTTCTTCCAAACAGCATCATCGTAGCTCTTTTTTAACGCATCACCATTCAAGTGCTTCAAGTTTCCATCCTCACTGCAACTTTCATCCTTCAGCTGATGAGGAGGAGCAAGAGCCTCTCCTCTCTCTGCTTCGTCACGTCTTCCTTCAGCCTCGACGTCCAATCGTGCGCACTGAGCTTCCTGGTCGACTTCATGGCTTTGATCAGAATGCGTGCTCTCTTTGAAGAGAAAGAACAGAGGTTATTATTGATCAGCACAGACCTTGTGTCAAACTGCGTTTCAAGTGAGCAACAGCAAAGGAATTTTTTATTTGGTTGGGCTGATCTAAAAATCCAGAGGGCTAGTGGGGTACGGCACTATAACAAACAATAAATCTACTAACTCAGAAGTAAATGCGGTACATTTGCTTACCCTTCCTGTACATGAGAAGGTACGCTGTGTGGGACCTGGTTTGACAGGAAAAATGGTTACAACAGCAGAAACATTAAGTTCCCCTGAGCAAGCCACATAAACTCCAGCTGCATCACTAAAGACTGTAGGTTCAGTATGATTGAAACAAAGTAGTTTTAGCCCATGTGTTTCAACCATGTTTAAAGGCAAAGTGTTTATTTTTGGACAAGAAACCTGCCATCAACATCTCCACCTCCACCTCCACCTCCCTGTGTCAGATTGATCCATCTCTAAAAACTCCAAGTATAACTGAGGCTGATGGGAATGTCATTAGATTTGCAGGTGTACAGACATAAAACAACATATTGGACAAATTAAAATTGTGACCTGATGATGAAGTTAGATGGAAATAGACAGTACTGTCAAATTATTACTTAATTTGATAATCTTATATATCATATTATATTAATATAACTTAATCTTGAGGGGAACATGTATAGGTGTATAAATGTCAAGGTTGTTGAGATATTTCACTTAACAAATGTGACCCTCATTGTGGCTCTAGATTAAAGGTGAGGGAGTCACCAAAAGGCACTAGGGCTCATCTTCTGGAGACCATGAATGTCTGTGCATTGTGACTTCATAAAGGTTGGAGGGGTTTTAAAACGATGTCAGCTGACGTGACGAGCACTTTCCTCAGACGATGCTTGAGCCCCAAACAGTGCGCAGTGACATCATGACAACCTGACCACTTGAAGGCAATATTTACCTCAGAGAGGAGTTTCCAGACCCAAACAGAGGCTGTCCGACCTGTGGAATTAGAAAAATACAGTAGCCTAAATGCTGATTTCCAGTTAAACTTGTTGCATGTTTAACTGTGCAATGATTTGTGCCATTTGACTGAGTATAGAAGAAAGAGCCTCCTCACCTTCTCAACAATGGCATCATTGAAGCAATACCACTCCCCCGTTTCAAAAGATTTGATTTCTGCAGTGTAATGACCTCCTGTGAGGTTTCCAAAGTGGTTGACTAAGGCGTAGAGGTCATATTTGCAATTCTGAAGAGAGGGAAATAAAACAAAATCCTACTTAATAAATGTTAAATTAAAGCAATTTTCTGATGAATGTAAAAAAAAAATTTTCTTTTAAATACCTCCATGTGTAAAGTTTGGGGAACTTCAGCTTTGCAGTGAAGCTTGACGTAGCTCTTCCAGTTGTAGTCGAAGGTAAATCTCTTCAGCAGGAGAGTCAGAATCACTGGAGTTTGTGTCATCTCACAGTCCTAAATCCCACAGAGAAAAACATCTGCATTAACATCAGACAGTCAAAAAGTCATTTATATTCTAATAAAGATCAAATTAATTACTCACAATCTCAGCATCTTGCTTTTTATTACACCGGGCACAGTACATCTTGTTTTCCCCGTAGACTTGTTCTTTCTTGAAAAAGGCCTTCAACCCTCCCTCCTGTAAACATTGTATATCTATTTATCCTGCGTGTCCTTTTTCTCTCTCAGTATGAAAGATACAGAACTCTGATTCTGGTTAAAGGAAAGCATAATACCACGCTGTAGGTTTGACTGCATGAATTCTCCATCGTTAGTGGCAGAATCCAAAAATAGCTCCGGGAGTCAATCCTCTTCTTACACTTGCCACATGTGGTTTTATGATTCAGCTCTCCCCTGAATGTCTACACACAAAAATGTTTTTTATATATATATATACACACACAATACTCTCCTCCTTTAAATTTTACTAATTCTTATGTAAAAATGCTGTTTAGTACTGGTTGGTATTTAGTTGCGTGAGGACTACAGGTGTAAACTAGCACATTTAGCTTGTTGTTCTTCCATTCAATATGTTCAGTACATTAAAGTGTCCCTACCTTGGACGCCTCAGGGCTGGTCAGACACAGTATCCTCTCTAAGTACTCGGCAGCGTCGCATTGCTCGTATGCTGAATGTGGGAGTGAGTTGACAGAAAATGACGTTTCATCATTAAAGTATATTCTGCTTCTCTGAGTCTGCAGGACTTTAACACACACAGGCTTCTACAGCTGCAGTGACATGTCTCAAATCTAAACTTACCATCTCTGATCCCCAGATTTTTTACAAAGCTGTGTGTTTCAGCCAAACCCCTCTCTAAGTCATCAAACAGTTTTCCCAGGAGCGCGTCAATGGTTGTCGAACCTTCACTGCAGCACCTGTGGCACAGTGAGAAGTACACGTGGCTTTGTTAAAGAAGAAACCAATGAAAGAAAAGTCAGATTATTTAACATGGTCTAAAACAACAATCTGTTCATGTGAACTGGACTGATCTCATATCCTATCCGACAAATCTGTTTTAAAGGAATAGCTCAATATTTTGTGCCAGACCATTTATCGCCTGGGACCAGTAACTTCCCGGAGTCCCCACTCCACAGTGAGCTTTACAGGTGCTGGTTCAAGTATTTCCTTTGGACAGAGCCAGGCTAGCTGTTTCCCCCTGCTTCTGGTCTTTATGCTAAGCTAAGCTAACAAGCTGCTGGCTCCAGCATGGAGTGGTATCAAACTTCTCATGTACTAACTCTCTGCAAGAAAGCAAATTAATCGCAAACTACTCCTTTAATATACCGCCTTCAGTTTCACTTCATCTAATCTGTCTAAAAATAAAAATAAAACACTTACAAAGGGGAATTTAAAACACTTTTTATTGAACCCCGGAAGTCTTCAGTCATAAAAAGCACCTGAACCACGCTGTTCAAATAGCATGTCAGACCTGGACTGTTCAGGCCATGGTAATCTAAAGACACAACAGGGACAAAAGACACACAAAATCCACATTATCTTATAACTCTGAAATATATGAGCCGTATACGAGCCACTGTGTCACTTACCTGAGATGGTGAAGTTGTCTAGTCTCTCTGTGAACATATTTACACGCTCATGATTCATAGTGATCTCCTTCGAATGGGAGCGTTGACATTTTTAGATTATCGATCCTTTTTTTCCACATGTATGGATATATTCAGCCTGTGGAAGCACAACGGATACAGCAGAAGTTAATGGAGAGTGATCAGATTCACAAGTCAAGAAGAATGAACAGAATCATAACTGACTCTAAGGGATCAATACTTCTTCCATCACTCCTTAAAACTATACAAAAATCACAATGAGAAACCACATTATTGTTATTATGTTGTTGTTATATTATAGATTTATATTTGTAAAACTTAAAGGATTTTCAATCAGCAGAGCGGGTAATGATTTTACAGACATTTTACAGGCACCAGTGAAAGCAGCTGTTGTGTTTGGGTGTTATGGAAACCCAAGCCGCCTCTTAATCCTCCATTTCCCCGCGCCTCAAAACCACACTTTAAAAATAAGCTACAAGAGCACAATAATAAACACACTATAAAGTGCCACGTGTAGGTTACACTGTGTCTACTTACGGTCCGATAAGCACATGAGGTTTTATTTGGGCGTGTATTAAAATGGGAGGGTAAAACACAGGAATACTCACCGTGCATCCTGTCCGATGATCCGGCGTGTAACTGTGAACTTTCACTTTCGATACCAGCGAGAGTTTGAAGGAGGAAGATACAGCGACACGCACGCACACACACACACACACACACACACACACACACACACACACACACACACACACACACACACACACACACACACACACACACCAGGAAGGACTCTCAGATGAAACTACATACAAACCCTGGACATTTCTTCCAGAAGTACTGAGTGTTGAAATAATCCTCCAGACTTCGTGTAGTTTCAGGCGCGGGTGCGACACTTCCTGTTCAAAATAAAGGGGAAGTCCTTAAAAAAAAAACAACAACAACAACAGAGAGACGAACTTTCACATCAAGGTAAGACAAAACAATCTATTCAATTCATCCTTTTTCTTTTACTAATGTAGTTTTAATGTGTAACATCAGGCTATAAAGTTTTAGGGAGGTTTCATCTATTCACTGGGTGTCATGTCGCCTTCAAAATAAAATAATATAAACGTTGAGTGAGAGATAAGGATTTACAGACGTATCAAGCTCATACTTCGTGTGTATTACTTGACACATTAAATGGTTAAAACTTTATTAAACTTTATTGTTAGATCAAAATCTAATGGCTAAGGGGGTAGGCTGCAGTGACGTGCGGTGAGGTTCATGGCTGGTGAGGCACTGACTTCATCACTAGCGCCCTCTACCATGAGGCAGGAGAACTGCGTGCCTCACCCAGTGCGTCTTCGCAGCCGTTTTATGATTGCTCAGCACAAGAAACACGTTACACACATACAGTTGTTGATAAAATACACTGTACATTATATACCTCAGCTAACTAAACTATGGAAATTTATAATATAATTCATATAGCAAAAGTGTTTGAACATTTTAATAGCGACATAGTGAGTCAGGTGTGCTGACATCAGCTCAGTCATGTGATAAAATATGTCGTTAACCCGGATGTTTGTTTTTTTTCAACATCATATCTCCAATACATCAGGTTGGAGGTTTCTCGAACAACTAATCTCTAACTGCATATTAACCAAGTCAAATCTGAACACACTGACATGATACATGTATTTTTAGATTCTATGTGGCCTGTACATCTCTGAGGATATCATCATTACAGATGTGCATCACCAATAAACCCACATAGAAATCATAAATCAAACATGATGCTCCATTTAACTCCAGAACCTGAGCAGGAATCATCAGGTTTTTAAGTTTCCTTCAGTATCAAAGGTATCCAGTGATAGCTGTCTGTACACCCCATGGGTACACTGCAAACAGGAACTTCCAACAGCTAATTCAGCATAGCCTACATAACTGTGTGTAACATAAATGTTTACAAATGTCGGCTTAAATGAACCATGAACATTGTTCTCACATTAAATCTGTAAACCTTTCAGTATTTGCCATTTGTTTATTCCACTAAGGAGAATCAAAATGAGTTCTCTGAGACAGGCGCAGGTGGAGAAGAGATACGACCCACTCGATACCACGCTGAAGTTTGTCGACAGGAGGGACGACTTGGACCCAGTGTGTAAGATTCATTTCCTTTCTCGCTGAGCACGTGCACAGAAAAGTGCAACAAAAAAGGACTGCTGATTATCAAACTTAAGTGTCATTGTATGAGCTGTTGGATTTCATAAATTCAGAGTTCTTCCAGTCGCTAATATACTTGTTGTTGTGCTCTTCAGCCTCAGAAGATGGTGACGGCAGCCTCAGAGCAGAGATGTCCTGCGGCCACGCGGTCACCCCTGAATCTCTAACACTGTGGTGTAGCAGCCAGCTGGATGAGGTATCTTATGTTTTGAAAACTCCTTTTTTGTCAGTAAATTTTATTTTTTATTATTCGTCCAATGAGAGGGAGAGAGCAGGAGACTGGATCAGTGTTTGAAATCGTCCTCTTTCTTGCTGGAAATATTAATATCTAAGTATAATAATCCCAAGCGCTCTCAGAGAGTGGGAGTAGTTTATTTATAATATTTATTGATGTATAGTTTGAGATCATGGAGAAGATCATAACTTTAATTTCAGGGGTTTATCCTTTAACCTTAAAGAAACGTTTCTTGAAACACCATTATATTTACACCAAACACCCATCAGCAAATCTCTTCCGTTTTTTTCTAAAATCCTAAACTGGATCTTCTCTTTGTTCGAAGGGGAAATACAAATTCAGATGCCCTGCAGTGGTAGAGGGCACCAAACTGTGCAATAAACTGTGGTCGTACGAGGAAGTGCGCAGACTGGCTGATTTGTCTGTTGAGGAAATGCAGCACTTTGAAGAGACCATGGCCCATCTGGCTGCTGCAGAGTACTATGAGGTTCAGCCAGTAAGTGACTTCTCAGTGGATTTTTCTTTGATTCAGAAATTTACAACAAAATCAAGTGAAGTAATTTTCATTGTTGTGTTTTTCTACATCAGTGCCCGCAGTGCAAAACATGTGTGGAGAGGAGGGACCTGTCCAACCTGTGTGTGACGTGCACCATATGCACGGCTGATCAGAAGAAGGCCTACCAGTTCTGCTGGCAGTGTCAGAAGCAGTGGAAAGGTCAAGGCCCTCGATCTGACCGCTGCAGCAACGACGGCTGCGCCAACAGGGACTTGGAACTCCTGCAGACGTGCAAGACCATCAGTCTGCCGGAGGTGGAGGGCGCCACCGCCTGCCCCTCCGTCCGAGCCTGCCCTACATGTGGCATAAGGGTGGAACATAACCAGCAATACTGCAAAAATATTAACTGTCCTCGCTGCGGCGTGCAGTTCTGTTTTATCTGCCTGAAACTAAAGCGTGAATGCTGCCAGACCAGTTCACCATACAAAATCTGTCCCAGTGGTGTGGCTCCCAGACAGACCTCTATCCCTGTCTGGAGGAGAAAATGAAAACAAAAAATGGTCTGTCTTTACTTAATGGGCAAATAAGCAATACTAGATATTTAAAAGAAAATATGAATAATGAGAAATCAACAATAAAAGCAGGATGATTCTATTCTATTTATATTAGCCTGTAAATATAGACAAAACCTTTGTGACGAATACATATGTTGTACCAACGGACATGGAAGATCATTTTTACTTGTGACCCTACTCTGCCCCCTTCTGGTCAGATATTAAACTGTACATGACAAGAAAGGTCAGTATCGATTAAAGGTGTTTTATTAGACTGTATTTAGATCATTTATAATGTTAGGTCATTTTCATATCTACAAAAACATTATTTTTCTTTCACAAAAGATCATCTAAGAATCTATTTACTAACCTCATCATCATCATACCTTTATGTTCTTCTTCTTGTGCCTTTTCTTTTTCTTTACATTTACACAGAGATCACTCTAGACAAGTTTTGTGCCGACGGAAAATGTCATATACAGTTATAAGTGCTTTTGTGTTATGGCTCATTTTTGTGTGCAATGCGGCAAAATTTAACTCGTAAAATGTCCTTGAAATTCAAAAATGTGAAATGTGAGAAATAAAGCAATTGTAAAAAATAATACTGAATTTCTTAAATGTGGGTTCATAATTCAGATTCATCCAAACATGGCTGATATGCATCAGTATCTATAAAATGAGAGACTGTCCATTAAAATTAAATAAAAAATAAAACGCCAATGCCCCCAGTTTTGAGGTGTATAATTTATGACTTTTAATAGTGATGTGATCTTTTTATTCAACATTTAATACTGAACAATCATATAAACATTTACAAGCACTTTATCTTATCACATGATAGTTAATCACATAATTTTCATCTTGAAAGTAAGGAAGACAAAATCTAACAGGATGATGATTACTCTGACATCAGATTGTTGAGAGGATTAGTGCTTCTGTGTAAGTATAAGTACTAAATGAGACACCCACCCACCACCTCCTTCTCCTTGCATTGAGTTTGTTAGATTTAAAATCAACAAAAGCGCAAAGTACTTGCTGGTCTGGCTTCACAGTACATCTCAGACGTGCTGTTAGTTTACATTCCCAGCAGATTACAAGTTGGAAATCTCCTTGTGCCTGGAGCATCTTCAAAGTGTAATGAGATGCTTTTAGCATCTATGCACCTAAAACAGTTTACCTGCTGATCTTAGACTCGCCCCATCAATGTTTTAAAACCAAACTAAAGACCTTCCATTTCTTAAATGCTGGAGGACGGTGCTTTTAAACCAAAAACACTTCATTCTGTTCCCCACCACCTGGTTATATATTGTCACTCCTGGTTCTTCAGCATTATTATGAAGTTACAGGTGATATACTGCTGTGGGTCCTTGGCTGTGTTAAATACAGTTGGACACACCAAAAAATATTCAGTTATATCTCAGAGCTGTAACTTTGAATATTTGACATGCTTCTTACTAATAACTTCCATGCTGTTGAGATCAGTAACTGCACACCATACTTCTTGGGGAGGGTTCTTACAGTGACTGCCATCTACCCTACACACATCAATGTTTACATTGACTTCAGATCAAACCAAAGATATTTAACACCAGAGAGTGAATCAATCTGTTTATATCAGGTGTAAATACGTGTGATTGGAAGAGTGCTACCTGCAAGGCTGAAGGAAGGCCTGAAGATACTAAAAACCCCACAATGCATCACAGCATCTCGCCCGGCAGTTTTTGATCTCTGTAGCCTGGAAAGAGACAGAGTAGGTCATGTTTATCAAATTACTTTATTATATTTATTTCATAACTAGTTAAGTAACACCATGTTAGAGATGAAGATAGTACCTATGATCAAAGCAGTATGTTACTTATTAGGATTTTAGGATTGTGATTTTACTGAGCTGAACGAATCAGGTGGCCACAGCAAATGAATTGGTCACTGTCAAATTTGTACTGTTTTCTTTTATGGAATATGGTGCATACACAAATACTGCGTGCGTTCTCCCATTGTGCTGGTCCACAGCATGGGTCTGGATGTGGCAATAGTGATGTGATTTGCACACAGAGTTGGAATTGTTAAATAAATAATGAATAGATAATTGTGTCTTGAGACTACTGGCTCTCAGTGGCAAACAGAAAATGAATAGGTAAAGTTATGTTAAACTGTGCAGCACATATACATGGTCCATACCACCATACAACTACAGGCCTCATTTATAATGATAGCTCACAGTGATGCAACAGTTAACACCTTCTTAAAATCTGTGTTATAACAACATTTGACCTTATATTTATGTCATGGTTTCCTTAAAGACTTGCTATTGTAACAATTACAGTTTACATTTCCCATTACAAACAGTGCTCACTGTATCTATATTACATATTGTGTTTTTTAATTAGAGGCATGTAATAAAGCATCATCCAGATGTTCTGACGCTGCTGCTGAAGAGATTTGAGTTTGACGACCGTCGCATGGAACATGCGAAGATAAACTGCAGTGTGGAGGTTCCCTACACCCTACAGATACCACAGGTATATTCTATATACATTTTTACTATTTTATCACAGCTCATTATTTTTTAATTCCTCGTCCTGATTTCTGTCCTATTTTTCCACTGGTGATCAGAGTCAGACGTATGACCTGTACGCGTTTGTGGATCATTTTGGAGATCTGACAGGTGGACATTACACTGCTACAATCAAGTCCCAGGAGGATGAGAGATGGTATAACTTCAATGATACCACTGTCAGACCGGTAAGACCGATCACCTTTTCTTCAGTGTTATTGATCCCAAAGCAGCAGTGCTTCAACACTTAGTTGTGCAGTCAGGTGGTAGATGGTAAAAAATAATAATAATGGGGAACCTGCTATTCCTTTCACCAACAGCTTCATTACCAGCCATTCCAGGTGGATGACAATAAGAAGTAGTAAGACTTAATTTGTCTTTTTTTCCCCACCATACATTTGCTGAATATGACAATGACCTTGCCTTCTCACATTTGTCCCATCAGATCCCAGAGTGCTTATCTTCTTTTCTACAGGAAAAAGAAAAGTAAGATGCCAAACTTTTTCATTAAGCTTACTGTGGTGTAGTTTGAATGATTGGACACTGATAGTCTGTCAGAATTGATTTTATCTCTCTCTCTGGTTTACCTTCCTAGTGCATGCTGCAGACGCTTTGACTCAAGACATCCAGGTTGTGGAGCGTCCTCACAGTTTAAAGCTGAAAGATGCATCTTCTCCAAAGTCATAAAAGCACAGTAACAAAAAAACCTGTTCAAGTCAATGGGAAAGTGGTCTCAGATTTTTAGACCGTACTGTACATCATAGATATTTTGTGCCCCTTGTCATGTTTTTTACAGTGTTATGTCCCTTAGTTGGAGCTAGGGGTGACAGGAACCATAACGTGACAAATCAAGAATTAAACTGAGTCAATGAGTACTAGAAAGTAGTTTATTACACCCTGAGGGTCTCAACAAGGAAGTCAAATGTGGGGGAGGAAGGGACAAAGGTGGTGTGCCAAAGAAATGAACCCAATAAAAGAAAATGAGGCCTAAGCTATCTTCATCTACTGAGACAAAAACACACAAAAGAAAACCTATCTACCTAATCTAAGACAAGAGCCTCCAAAACAATACAGCGGGTGGCACCCACCACTAACCTTTAATACATGAACACAACTGGCAGGCTTATCACTATCCGGCAAAATGAGAGAGAGATCTCATTCAGGCTCCCCTTTTATTGGAGGACTCGAGGCAGATGATTGGCCACTGGGGCAGCCAGGAGCTCAATAAGCCATCCTCCCCTAGTCTAATCAGGTGGAGCCCAATCACCAGTCAGCACCTAGAGGGAGAGACAGAGGGGGGAGAGGGAGAGGGAGAAAACAAAAACAAACAGCCTGCACTTGCCTGGCACATATCAACAGTTATATACTGTAGTAAACAGACTGTACTACTGTACTACTTGAGAAAAGACACATCTAAGGAAATAGTTGTTTACTTTATTCCTTCTTCCACACAGGTATAGAGGTCTGTCTGGGGGCAACACCACCGGAGCATGGTATGTAATAACTACTTGTCTTCAAACAATCTTCTGTCAGCTTCAGGCACACAAAACAAAACTCCTTCCTACATTGGATACAAACAACATTTTTACATCCTGTTGTGTCATGCTGCACCAGTGAGCCACAGGTGGGACAGGCTCGGATGGAGGGACAGCCAGTGACCCCTGTCACAGACTGAAAGATGATATCTGGACAGTTTTTCAGCACTTTCAGTGGTTCGTTGCAGCAGCCGTCGTTTTCACAGCGGTCTGAGCGCGGAGCCGGACCCTTCCACTCCCTCAAACACTGCCAGCAGAACTCATAGACCCGTCCTCTGTTTGCTGTGCACACTGTGCAGTGGACGCTCAGATTAGAGGTTTCCTTTCTCACCAAAGAAGATCTGCATCCAGGACACTGTGATGTGGAAGGAGGTGAAAGACGAGGGAAAACAGAGAGAGGTTTTTTTTTATTTAATTTCCATTTTATTTTCCATTTTATTAGCATGCAGAACAAATTTGTCGTGAAAAGGTTTCCACATACAGCTAATAAATGTCATAGTTTCAATGAGACACTTACTGATTTGGCATCAAAGTAATGCTTCATAGCATTGGAAGCCGAGGTTTCTTCAAAGTACTCCATTTCTTCAGGTGTCAGAAGAGCCATTTTACGAACCTCTGAGTAAGGCCACTCAACATCACAACCACTTTGTCCACATGTGAATCTGCTTTCACCCTTTATTAAAATATGGAAAAGTAAATTATTCATTAGTAGCCTATCAGAAGTTGGAAACGAGCCACCAAACACTATAGGTTACACATTTTTAAGACTTTACAGTGACAGCCATTCTCTAGGACTGCTATCAGCCAACATCCCAAATCATCCATTTCAAACATAGAATTAACAAATGAAGGTCATACCGTTCATTAGGAACAGCCTACCTCATCCAGTAACCTGCGACACCACTTGGTCAGAGACGTCGGAGTCACAGCGTGACCACAGGACATCAGAGCTCTGCGAGACTTGAAACCTTCACACAGAACTGAGGAAAAACACGGAGAAACCGTCACACACACACACACACACACACACACACACACACACACACACAAATAATACACTACGTTATAGTACAACATTAAATGCGTATATGTTTTACCTATTGTTAAAAAAAGTTCACAATAATCCATATGTAATTTATAATAATTCATGTCACTTCTTTGGAAACTGAAATGGACGGACGGCAAACACACTCGGTGACTTACAGTCTAACTCGTCCTCTCTGTCCACAAATGTGAGTGTCGAGTCTCGAGGGTCATAACACTTCTCAGTCTGACACTGCTCCTGCTCAGCCAGAAACTTCAGCACAGCCTGACTCTTCAGCTCAGCCAGAATCTTCAGCTGAGTCTGAAATATCAGCTCAGCCTGACTCCTCAGCTCAGCCTGACTCCTCAGCTCAGCCTCACTCCTCAGCTCAGCCTGACTCTTCAGCTCAGCCTGACTCCTCTCCTGCTCAGTTGACACATTGGAGCCCATCTTAACGTCGCTTTCTTTTGATTTCCCCTGTGAAATATCGACAAACAGCAGCAGGTCTTTAGGCGGGGCGAGTCTGATTAAAAATGTATAACATTTGTAAATTCCAACTCAAACTATGAAATACAATTCTGATTTTTAAATCAAAGTCAATACAGGACAGAGGAAACAACACTAGTCTACCTTGAGTTTTCAGATTCGCACTTGAAAGACGCTCCTGAAAACGACGAGAAATGTGGTCTGAGAAGATCATCCGCAGATCTTCCACCGTACTTTGCCCAGGGACGTGGGGGGGTGGGGGTGTGTGGGGGGGGTGATTCCCCTGAAATCCCCTGCTCCGACTGGCAGACTATTTTATTAGCTTTGTGTGTGAGGACACTTTCGCTTTCACTCTCTTCGGTGAACTGTTTTAAAAAAATATAATAGGTCTATTAATGATTCTCATCAGATCATGGTCATTCTCCTTTAATATTTAAAGATAATTATTAGATAATTATTATTAGATAATCATTTTGCTGTGGACGTGACTCAGCTAAAGCTGCTCATCAACTTGTTTCCTGCCCCCACACATAATGGTTATGATCCTACATACAAGAACATCTCGTACTGTGTTTTTAACTACAGAGATTTGATTTTCACTTTCAATCTGAGGCACACCTTTCCTGTAAGTCACATGATTGCAGGACATAAGTTCTCTGTTGTTTACCACTGCCATTGTGTAGATATTTGATTTTCACTCTCAATCTCTGCCACACGTTTCCAGAAATTCCCATGAGAACAATATCTACCCAAAAAGGTCACCTACATTATTTTTTAGCTCCTTCATGCGTTTCAAAACAAACAAAGAAAAAAAAAATCACACGCCCAATGACACAGAAAAAAACATGCTCTCAGTTCAGGCTCTGTTATTTTGTATCTATGACACATGAATGTCAGATGAAAATAAATATCATCTTTCTTCAATCTGTTAGTTTTAAATTGACCATTTCTTTTGTTTATTGGTTGGTTTGTTTGGCCATGTTTTCTCATTATGCTCTTTGAGTATAATCATTATGTGTGAGGCAGGAAAGAAGTTGATAAACAGTTTTAGCTAAGTCAGGTTCACAGTAAGTAATATTCATGACTTAATTCTATTTCCTATTAAATAAAACCTCACATAAAAAAATACAGTTTGAATGAATTATTTTTCACATTTAAATGATCATTTATACGTGTAATATTTTACACAGGGGGAAAAGGCCATCAAAGTTACAGTTTAGTTGTAAGTTGTAAGTCTCTCAACACTTTAGCTTTTTAAAGGTTCCTGTGATCCTCTGGGACAGTGTGGATCCTGATCCTGCAGGAGCCGCATTTCCTGTAAGACACCATGAGTGCAGCCAGGAGACACACAGCGGCAGTGAAGCAGAGCGCTGTGGCTACAGTGATCTGTGTAGGAGGTCTGAGGGGAGACCAGGTCCCATCCTGGACTGAAGTCAACGTCTCATAGGGGTCACTGAACAGAAAACAGTTAGGTTAGTATGAGTTACAGGTTATTGTAAACCAAGAGGGGGCTTTTTAAAATCATACTTGCCTTGTGGAAGAAGATGGAAACATACTGACATCATCTGAGGGAGGAGTAATGTCAGAGTACAGGCAAAACCTCCTGTCAGGGCACAAGACTAAACCCTGATATCCTTTTATCTGGGAAGTAAAAACAGCAAAGAAATTAATAATATGACTAAATGTCAAATGAGAACTTTGGTAGGTTCTATTATATACATACCTACATCTATTAACAACCCCACTGATTTCCAGCTTTCTATATTTACACGTTGGGCTCATGTTACCTGAATTGTGCCTCCTGCTGGACAGTCCACCCACTCAGAGCCAGTGACCTGGATTTGGAACCTGTTTGGTCCAGTACACCTGTGTCTGTAACAGCGGCCCTCCACTGAGCTGTTAACCTCAACAAACTGACTCTGGTTGTAAAAGAAAAAAAGACAAGAGGAGTAAGAAGGGAATAATGGAAAGGGTTCAGAAAACACAGGCGACATGCATTCACCTACAAGCACAGGCACCTGTCTGGTCAGGTTAGAGAAGAAGCATCGGCTGTTGAAGCCCAAAATCTCCCCGCTCCAATCGTCTTCAGCTGACTGCCCGGTGTTTTCCTGTTTCCAACATTCACTCTGAAGGACAAGAGGAGGACAAAGAGTCAAAACATGGTGCCGCAATGGCAATAAAAAGCACAGGTTACAAACACATGTATAAAAAACAGATATTACTGCTTTACAAAATTGTAAATCTACAAGTCCAGATAAAATCTGGGTGATAATGTTTGGTGAAGATGATTTTTCAAGAGAGGAAATGTAACTTACTGCATTCTGGAGGGGTTTAAACACTCCACATCCCTCCAGGTATGGATCCGTCTGGCACTCCCCCTTGTGGAGGTGAAGAAAATGACACCCACGTCCACTGACAGAAAAAAATAATGGAAAAATTAGTGCTGGAAATATCATAAGAAAAGGAGAAAAAGTGACCTGTAATCCAGAGGAAAAGAAACATACAGCTTTAAACGTACCTGCCAGAGCAGAAAAAGGAGGAGGAGTTGTCTTGGCAGGTTGACAGGGAACCAAACGTGGCTCCTTCACCTACAAAAACACACATTCTGAGAAATCAGGCGGTTTTATAGTTATAATTAAACTGTAGCTGCTGTATGTTTAATATTCTCCTTGTAATATCTTTGCAAACACTAGTTTTTTATTAAAGCATTATTATTATAATCAAGCAGATTTTCCACAACACACAACCCCTTACCGTCGCCCCAGACCAGACTCTGTGCCCGGCTCAGGTTGACCGTGTACCAGCCGGTGTCCTGTAATGCAGCTAAAGTGACCGGGTCGATCCGGACTGTGGTCCAGTCCTCCAGCACCGCTGCCATGATGGACCCCCTCAGGACCCGGGACTCCCAGTGAGAGGACACTCCGCCTGAAGGTGCATCCTGAGGGAAGAAGGCATGGCAGGTAAGTAGCTGGAAGTTTGACACAGGTGAGGAAAGCTGTTGTTGAAAGTGTTGGGAGAGTTTGTTGAACTCTCAGTACCAGGTTCTCCAGCGGTCCTCCCAGCTCAGGGTCAGTTGATGCCAGGTGCTTCTGCAGGGCTGAGATGACAGACGGGGTGTAGATCCTCATCTGGCCCGATCCATCAGAGTGAATCACTTTCCCCCGAGGCGAACATCTGGCACCCACTGCAGCACAAATCAGAGGAAACTCTCTGAGCATCTAATTCTTTTTTTGTACTTCTATTTCTCTGATTGTATTTTCTTCAAGAGCTGAAAAGTTTTAATCTTTATTTCCCTTTAATAGTACTTTATTCGCTTTATTCATTCAATCACTTTTCACTAATTTCAGTTGCCTTTTTTATATATCTTAAGCTACTTGTTTTATTTCGCACCCACTGCAGTATGTGGAACAACTGCACAGTATAACAGAAGAGTGTGCTACAACATATTGTTAATATAGTGACATAAAGTTGGGTTTAAAAACCTTGAGGAGAGGAGGAACAGTCTTTCCAGGTGTGGAAGAGATCTTTAGAGAACCCAAGTGCGTGGAACAGCTCGTGGATCACAGTCTGGAAAATAGATTATTCATTATAATCCGTACTTTTTCTTCCTGCTTCCCATATTCCCACAGTACCATCGTTTATTTTATTTGGTGTTTTCAGTCATTTTTAAGACAAATTTTAAACAGAAACTGCATATAATTAAAACCTTCAGGTAGCAGAGTTATTAATATAATAAATCATACCTGTACTGTAGCGTGGTGGTTGTATGCGGCTGCTGTTAATTTGTCCCTGCAGATGACCACCACCCCAGCCACAGGTCGCCCATGGGTGTCTGTCTGGCAGCGGACAGCGTAGGCCAACACATTAGGCTGAGTTCACAGAAAGAGTAAATATAGAATTAAGAAAAAAATGTAAAGTAGTGAATGATAATAAAACAGCTGCAGTAGAGATTCATGAGTACAGATCCCCATACAAAGCAGGACACACAACGTTTCACCTTGAGTTCATAAAGTTTAATGTTGCAATGCACCATTTTTTATTTCAATATATAAAGTATGTTTTATTGCTCTTTCAGTTTTCAGTCATTAATGAAGGAAGTTTAAATATTTGCTGTTGAAATAATCTGATGTGCAGCATCAAAATCAAAGCACAGTGTGTTGAAAATAATAAAATTAAATTAAAAAGACAATAAAAATCTAGAGGTGATTGCAGTAAAGCCTGTCTGTTGTTCTCTCATTTTTATAGTTTCTCTCTGTTTTATTGTGAAACACTTTGTAACTTCCTTTAGAAAAGTGCTGTCTGAACACGTTTTATCATTCATTGAAAACCTTTGAACTACTTCATATACAACACTTGTGGATATGTTGCACAGTAATGTCAAAGACCTCAGTGCTGTCAGTGGGTCTTCACCTCTGCTCTACACTTGTCAGTGGACTGTATGTGGAGGTACAGCAGGAAGTCGGTGTCAGGGAGTCCAGCACCTTCAGGTCTGAGAACAGTCCTGCGAGGCGAATCAGGCTCCGGGTAAATATCACATCCAGCCAGGTGATCATCTGGGATCTGTTGATGATAGAGATGATAAACACACTCCATACGTTTTCGTACTTCTTTTTTTTTTTTTTTCAGCTCACCAAAGGAATAAAATAAAATCAGTCAGACTGATACTTACTGTCACATCCAGGCAGGTCTCATTCCTATAGTTGCTGTTGGCTCGACCACACCTGAAGGAAGAAAACGAACTCTTTATATCTATTTCATGACATATCGCCTTTAGTCAATAGCTTCAGTGGAAAACATGTTGATCCACTAAAAACTACTAATCATTTTTAAATGTACTTTACAGAGCATTACAGCGCAGATGTTTGCACTAATCCGCTTTACTTTATTCTCAAAAGTGATGAGGGTGACTGTTCATCAACTACAAGACATCACTGTTTGTTTAAATTGCCAAACCTCTAATTCTGGTGATTTTTTTTATGCTGTAACATTAAGAGATTTATATAATCTTCCATAATTTGGGGAGTTTGTTTTCACCAAAATTTGGAGAAAATCATTTTAGTTTCATTAATGAAATAAAAGTATGAGCGCTTCACAACAAGGAGGCCCTGGGTTCAAATCCAGAACCAGCCACCTGAGGCCTTTCTGTGTGGAGTCATGTGGTGAATGAATACAGCACACATGCAGAGAAATGAACTGTCAACAACCTAAAACAAACATAAATCTCTTTTTCAATGGTTTGTAAACTATGAATGGAAAGAATTTTAAAGATAAGCAGGTGCACATCTGGTCGAAGGAATGTGTTTGTGTACACACACACACACACACACACACACACAC